GTTCTGGAAGCTCTTATAGAAAGCTTTGGAAAGAGCTTCTGGAAAACTTTAGGGCAAAAATCCTGGCAAAGAGGCTTGCAGGGACACGCTGGAGGCACAGTGGAGTTTGTCCGAAGCGTCCTGTCAGAAGCCGAAACGAGTCCCGCGGGGATACCCTGCGGTGCCGGCTTCTAATGTTAAGCCCTCTTGGCTCTCAGAGTGCTATCCGGGAACTTCTTTCAACCAGACCACCGCGACCTCACGAACGCGCCACACTGGCCTTTCTTTACGCGCCTGAACGCTTGCACAGGACGTCTACAGGGAAGCATGAAAACCTGTCTGGGAGTGTGGAAAACTTGTGAGAAGACGCATGTAACATTGCTTGAAAGGGTCGCTGGAGAGTCTGCAAGCTTCGGGGAAACAGCTTCGCAGGAGCTCCAAAATAGCTTCGAAAGAGCTGTGGCAAGGCTTCCGGCAAACGTATTGGGAATGAGAAGGAAACGCTCTTGGGACACGCTGCGACTTCACAGGGGCCGCTGCGACGATGCCTGACCGGGAGCCGAGAGCAACCCGAGAATATATACAAGATTTGAGGGATTGCTTCGTTTCGCCTCAATTTAGGTCCTGCGCCCACGCACTCCCATCCATTCGGTGAGTGAATGGGCGGTTGGTGAAAGCAAACGATGACCACGAGGGCCTCACGATCATTTTCCCATACTGGGTCACAGGCATGTCGTTCGTTGGGGAGAAAAGGCTTCTGTGCGACGTGTCCAAAGTCACGCATGCGAGGTGGGAGGAGGTGGTGAGCCACGAGAGGTGTTGCGGTCATGATGTTCAAGGAGCAACCCCATGAACGCCAACGGAGCAAACACGGAAACGAACGATCCGCAGTCAGGACGGCAAGGACGAAGAAAAGAGGACGAGAACGACGAGAAGGACGGGCACAAAGAGACAGACGGTCCCGCAAGTGCCAGAAAGGGAGGAGGGTCATGACGGAATGCGCATCCGACAGCGAGAGAGCTGATGTGATGACCGCCAGGTGGGTGAAGGTCACGAGGTCGAAAATTGGCGCCATGTGTGCGAGTGGGAACCGCGGGCGTTGGCAAAAGGATGAATGTGAGGGTCGTCGGAGAGGGGCAGGGGTCGGTGCGACGAGGGGGCGGCGCTGATCACCGAGAGGGGGGTTGACGGTCATCGCTCGGAGAAGGGGTGGCGAGCCGCACCGTGAGAAGAGGGGCACGCAATGAAAAGGTCTGTCGCGGCCAAAGCTAAAACAATGTTTTTCGTGCCTTTGGGGCCAATTCGCCGTCTAAGGGCGTCTTTGAAGCCTCTGGGGCATTGTGGGGGCCGCGTGCACCAAATCCGAATCCATCAACTGGTTTGGAAGAATCGTTGATTTGTACATCTTGCGGCCCTGTTGGTCGTTTCGCGGCGGGTGGAAGACGATGACGATGACTACCTAACGTCCGCTCGTTTGGGAGGTGGCCTGGGGGTTGTTTAGAGGCGGCCTTCAGTTGTCTGAGGCTTGAGTGGGCTTTAGGAGGCCCTGGCGTATACGGCGCCGACTGGCCTACAGCTGGCCGGTGACGATGGGGCAAACATGGAAAACGATAGCGAAGTAGGAGGAGGAACAGAAGATGCATAACAGGAAACGAACGACGACGACGAGCAGCAGCCGACTGACGCACGCTCGTTTTGGAGGTGGCCAGGGTCTGTTTGGACGCTTTTAGGGAGGGTCTCAAACTTGAGGGAGCTTTAGGGGGCCATTGCGTTCATGGCCCCGAATGGCCTACAGCTGGCCAAAGCGAGTAGTAATGAGCTGCCTCAGAGAATAAAAGCGCGGCCGCCCAATGAATTGGGGGTACGGGCATGACCGCGAGGGGGATCGTGGTTATGCCGCTGGGGCCGTCGTGCCGCCATGGCGGCACACCCCTGACCTGGATCGTGAGTTCAGGGCGTCCTGGGCGCCCGTCGGGGCCTCGCGGAGTGCTTCTGTGGCGCCTCCGGAAGCCCTTATGGCTCGTGGATCGACGACCTCTGGCAGCCTTTCTGGGCAAGCCGTAAGGGCCGTAGACCCAAGACCTCCCATACGCTTCTGGGGGCCTATTGGGAAGCATTGTGGGAATCTCTAAGAGCCTCTTGGGCCTTCTTCGATGTCCTTTTGGGGCCCTTTTGGGCCGGCTGGGGGCCCTCTTGGGCCGTCCTGGGGCCCTCTTTTTTTCACGGTCTGCGGCCTGCGTGGTCCGTGGTGCTACAATGCTCTTCGTAGAAATCGCAGACACGCAAGAGAATACACCTACACGGCTGCCAGGAAACTGGTTCCCGCGCGCCAAATCGGAAAAAATTGCCGGATGCAGCGATGTGGGGGTCTCCCGCGCCCCGACCCTGCAGGGCGGCCTGGCTCGCCGAAAAACATCCACCAAGTTCCAAACCTAAACCTGCGACGCATGTTGGAAATTACCAGCTCACTTCCGTTGCGGCGAACTACGGCCGTGTCCGCCCCTCGCGAACTGCGACCTGCGCCGCAACGTGTGATGAGTTCGTGCCACACGGTCACGCCACCGAGCACATGGTGCAGCGACTCTCGGCCGAGATTTCGCAGGCACCCGCGACAGAGCTTAAAAAAAAATGCACATACGGAGCGGCCAAGAAACTGATTCCCGCACCGCCCTAAAAATCCGTCCTACTACTTTCAAGTGTGCGCAGTGTCAAACTACACTGATTTGCCGGATGAAGCGATACAAGGGGCAAGTGGCCCGCTCACGGGAAGCTCGCGCTTCGGCCCCGCACGCGCCGCGAGCCCGCATCAGGAAGGGCAGGGGCCGCACTCCTCGTCCCCGCAGAAGCGGCACCCCCGCATCATGGGCACCTCGTCGGCCCAGCCCGCCGCGGTGCAGCAGAACCCCTGACCGAGGTCCTCGTCCCTGCCCGCCGCGCCCTTGCAACGCTGGTGGTCCAGGACGCACAGCCTCTCGGAATTGCCACAGGTGGCCGCCGGCGTCTGGGTGCAGTACTCCGGGGGGTGCGACGAAGTCGTCGGCGGCTTCGGCTTCATGGTGTCGGCATAGCAGGCCTCCCACGACTCCACGGTCTTGAAGGGATGCGTGGAGGGAGCGTACGAATCCAAGCATGAAGGCTTCCACTTCAGCGGTTTGTTCTTCGAATCCGGGAGCGTCTCCACGCCTGCGGGCCGGTCGCTTGCGCAACAGCCGTCGTAGGTCAGCTCGTAGAGGGGCAACTTGGCGACACCGTGCCTGTCCATGCACTCCTGCAAGAACTTGTCCTCACCCCAAGGTCCCCACTTCCAATCCTCGCACAACTCGCCGCCCCAGCAGAGGTTTCGCTTGCACTCCTCCATGTTATCAGCGACTATCTTGAAGCCCTTGGTAGACACCACCTCGAGGTTGCCGTAGAATCCCGAGTCCACGCCCTTGCAATTTTCATAATACACTCCTACATTTGGCTCCCCCATTTGTGACAGCATGTCCCGCAATCGTGTAGGGATGAATACGGCATCAATGTCTGCCTTGATCACCCAATTCTTGTCCTGCACCTTGTTCCATAGAGTACTTGTCCCACGCATCTTCTGCCACACTTGATAGAAGATGGCCGTGTTGGCACACGCCCCAGTATCAGGACGCGTGTATTTGCAAAAATCCCCCTCGAGATCTTCAACCTTGACTGCCTCGTAGTCGCCCACCGACAGTTGCACGTCGCTGAAAATCTCGTACGCATCGCATGCAAATAGACTCAGCCCCCTCTGCATCTGCATCTTCAGCAACTCCAGCTCATGGTTGGGCTTGCCATGGTTATCGCGGAAAACCACAGTGTAGCAGTACAACGTTGTACCTGGGTTTTCCGCTGCCACTTCATCCTTCGTGGCAGTAATGTCCTCGCAGGACCAACCCATCACCTTGGAACAAGTCATATTGCACCAAGCGTGCTTGTCATCCATCTTGAAACACTTTGCGCCTGTTTGCTTGCAGCAGCCCGAGTCCATGCAACTCTCTGCGCCTGAAGCACACACCTTCCGCGGCTTTAAAGACTTGATGGTGCTGGCCAACTGCGTCGCGACCAAGTTGACGGACTCCGCTCGAAGCTTCTGGTTGCTGAAAGCCATGACGGACGCGATAGCAACCGCCACGATCACCACAGTAGCCAGTGCAGCACGCAACCAATTCTTGCCGCTCTGTGCTGAAAGCGGCAAAAGCGGCTGCACATCATCGTTGCTGGCACCCGCTGCCAGGGCGTCGAGCTGCAGCTCCATCGGATTGAAGCGCGTGCGCACGAGTGGGCCGGCGCAAAGCCGAGCACCAGTCTGGAATCAGAACGGCAATGGCTTGAGCCAAAATGGCTACGGAACGTCCTGGGGCCCTCTTGGCCCGTCTTGGGGGGCTGGGCCGTCTTTGGTCCCTCTTGGGGCCCTCTTGGGTCGTCCAGGGGGCCTCCTATGGCCCACTTGGGGCTCCTGTGGGACTTTGGGACCCTTTGGGGACCTCTGGGGCCTGTCTTGGGCGGTCTTGAGGCTCTCTTGGGCCGTCTTGGAGCCCTCTTAGGCCGTCTTGGGGCCCTCTTTGGTCGTCTTGGGGCGATCGTGGGGGCCTCTTGGGTCGTCATGGAAGCTGTTAGGACCAGAGAAGCGAAGACGTACGCTGAACAGTTACGCTTCCCGAAAGAATGAATGCGACGATGTGTGCCTCTTGCGGGCCCTCTGGGGGGCCTCTTGGGCCGTCTTGAGGGCCTGTGTGGCCGTTTAGAAGCTGGATTGGGCCCGCTTGGCGCGCTCTTGAGCTATTTTGGACATGGCTTAGGGCGCCTTGGAAGCCTCTTGTGCCAACTCGGGGGCCTCTTAGGCCGCTGTGGGAGGCGTTTTGGGGTGTCCAGGAGCTCTTCCGACAGGTGCTCTTGAGCTGGGGAGTACCGTCCAAAAGGTATTGGGGGGGGGGCCATCCAGGGGGATTCTTCCATGCAGGATAAATCATTCTAGGAATGTGTGTGGTTTGTCTCTGGTTCTGTGGGTCCTGGGGAACCCTGATCAACACGTGGCTGCCAGGCATGTTGACGTCGAACTTCTGCCCGGTGACGCTCGACAGGTGCGGGTCCCCTACCGCGGCAGCGTCTGAAAATTTGAAGAAATCGTGCTCGGTCGAAACTGAAATGAGCTCGTAGCCAGTGGCGGCCCCGTGAGCTGTGACGTCAGGGTCGACTCCTGCGGCCGAAACCACACCTGGCATTATTGACTCTGCCATCGAGTCGAGGTTGGCGGTGTTAAGCTCAGCTGCCGCCTGGGAGCTCTCGGGAATGGAGACTTCGACAGCTACTTCTTTGCCACCAGATGATGCAGCCGAGAGCGTCACATGACAGTCAAAAGGCTGCAGCGCCATGCCGGTGCATACGTCGGCGGCGATGGAATGGGACAGGGAAGCCACAGCCGCGCTGTCTGTGCTGAGCGACGTGTAATCGATTCCGATCAGCACGAATGTCAGCTTGGATAAGTATCCCGAGACGGCCGTCTGGTCGGCCGACCTGGGGAAACAAAGACACGAACGCCGCTGTCCCCGGACCTCTCACAAGTTGCGTCCTGATCAGGATCTCGAGGCGACCCCAGCCGTGGCGACGAGGGCCTCAGTCGACTGGGTCTGTCGCCGCGCCGTTTGTTGTAGACGCGCCCAAGTTGACGACGCCAGCACCACAGCAAACATTGCGGCCCACCCCAAGGAGACGAAGCCGGAGCCGCGGCATACCCCACGGCGAGCCGACCGCGTCCAAGGCGACGTTTGCCCTGGTGGAAGCGGCGCCCTCCCCAAGACGTAAGGCCGCGCGTCGAAACAAACGGCGCGGCGTCACATGAAAGCGAGCAACGGGCAATGCGTTTCACAAGAGAGCGCCGGGGCTAACGGAGAGGCGTGACGACCCCAATCCCAGACTTCGTGGGGTTTTCGATTTGGCGCATAGTTTGGGGCCCAAGTGGGGGATACATAGTGGGGGATACATAGTGGGGGGGGTCCGAATAGCCCATGGGGATGTATCCCAGAGTTTCCCCTATGAGCGGCCTAGCTTTTCGAGCGGAACTCGGGGACTGGGGGAAAACAATATTTGCGGCGAGAGGGGATGGGAAGTGAGTGAGAAGGATCAGGCCTTCTGAGAAGGCGGCGGGGTTTCACAGAAACGCTCCAACCTCCTGAGACGTTCTCTGTGTCTTTGGTCTTTGGGGGGGAGAGAGAGAGAGAGAGAGAGAGAGAGAGAAGCCGTGCACGTCAGAGGTGCATTGGCAAAAGGGGGGTGAAACGACACCGACCGGCTGGGGGACCTCCGAGACTTCTCTAGGAGGACCCGTCTAGGAGGACCCGCCCCCTCTCATTTCCCCGCCATGGCTGGCCGCCAAAAACCGCCTGCGAGGGGCGGCACCAATCCCGCCGCAGACAAAAAACTGCGCGCCAGGAGCGCTCCAATCGTGGGGGGCGGCGCGCCACGCCCACGATTGGCGATGTCAACGCCCTGTCGGGCGGGTGTCCCCACGCATGCTGTGGAATGGCGACGGGTGGGCACCTATTGGGATGAGAGGGTTATACAGAGGATTGGGGGGGAACACCAAAGGCTGGCAACTGTGATGGGTGTGATCGGTCTGACTGCCGATACCACTCCAGCTCACACGATCGATGCAACTACCGATATCAATGTCGATCTCACCATCGATCCAACTATCGATTTCACCACCAGTCTCACCACATCTCGGTCGTCATCGATCTCACTGTCGATCTGTGTCGATCGGGACACCAGCGGGGCACCTCGGCGGGACACAGCGGGACAGTACGCAGAGCAGAACTGGGCACAACTGGGCAAGGCCAGGTGTGCCGAACAGGCCCGACATATCAGCGCCGATAGTGAGCTGGCAACCTGACCGTGGGTCACAGTCAAGCCCATACCAGAAGGAATGCTACGTACGGAACAGAGACCCTTCTTGGCCCCCAAAACTACGCATGAGTGCACGAAGAAGCAGCGAGCCCCATCCGAGCTCGAACCGCTACCTATTCCAACGTGTTGGCTGCGTGTTTCTGAGGGGGGGGAATCCATCTGGAGTTTGCGGTATCTCGCCGATTGATCGGCGATAGGCCCCAGATGACGAAACCAGACAACCACACGTTCCTGGGCGGGGTAGGCTATCGGGCCCCTGTCGGCGATGAGTAGTCGATTGGAGGTCGATGCATCCCTCGTGGAGCCTATCCCCCACGAGCGTTGACTGGTCGCGGCTCTCGGGTCTCAACTCGGGTCCTTGGCGGCCGTACGGAACGTTGTTGTTTGCCGTCAACGGCGCCTCAAACAAGTTGCAGAAAAGGAGGCTGGAATCAGCAACACGCGCCGCATCAAGCCGCACGCTCGCGGCGCGGCCCAACGCTCACAGCGCGGTGGCCCGGGCCCAGATGGCAAACGGAGGGCCCCGCCGTGCACTGCACCGTCCCATGAAGGGAGAAGGCCAGCGGCGCCAATGCAGAACGGGCAGGGCACCCGCTCGCCATTTGGACCCGGGAAAAAGAATTTGGACCCTGGTACCGAAAAGCGACACGGCACGACGACGAGCGACGGACCACAACGAACAACAGGGGGGAAGACGGATCGCCGATCACGCCCCAAGGCGGTGAATGCGAAGAGTGAACTCCCGCACCGCCGTGGGGGGCGGGGGGGGACACGGCACCTCGCGGCCCCCAAGAAGGAACGCCCAAGCGCGGGGTTTTGGACCCCGAAGGCCCGGTGCCCCCCGCCTGCACCAGGGGGCGCTTTGTCCCGACACCCCGCTCAAGGGGGTGCCCCTCCAGGGCAACGTACGGGCCGCCCCCGCTTCTGGGCTCTGGGCCGCCCTCGGGACGCCCTCGACGAGGCGCAGCTGCTAGAGCGCACTCCGAGGCCGGAAAACAATCAGGAACCGACGAGAATGCCCGAAAACCTCGAACCTCGAACCTTTGGCCCCTCCTAAGGTTGCCCCTGACTACCCTCTGGGAGCCTATAATCAGCTTGCTACCATAATGAATACCACGTATAAAAACTTACGAGGATGTTCTGGCCACAGCGAGCCTCGACCACAAATCAGCTCCTCGACCTGAATATACGGAGCGGCCCGAAAACCATAGCTCTTCTTGAGCCCAAAACTGTAACGGTGGACATATCCGTACACGCGCCCCCGTCGGAATGGACTCTGGAGCGCGATGTCGCGGATACGCGGCCGCACGGGTAACGTTCCGCACGTGGCATCCGCGAGCAAAAGCGACTCGTATCCTCAGGGTCGCGGCCCAGGGGCCCGGCCCGCGAGGCCGCGGAGACTGTATCCTTTCTATCGGCGGCGAGCGAGGGGGGGAAGTGAGAAGGAGAAGGCCTTCTCAGAAGGCGGCGTGGCTTCCTTCTGAGAGGCTGCTGCGTCTGGGGAAAGGCTCAGAGAACTTCTCAAAGGCCAGGGGGACTTCCGAGCCTTCTGAGAAGGCCCGCCACCTCTCGCTTCCCCCCTGGGCTCGCCGCCGATTCTAACATCGTCACTGCGTTCCCCCTCCAACTTGTGCTGCATCCTCGGGAGACCTTGTCTGTCCTGTCGCGGCCCTGTCCGCGTCGAACCCGTGCCGAATTCATGTCGGACTCGCTGGATCCGTGTCGAATCCGTGTCCAATCCGCGTCGGATCCACGCCAAATCCTCGTCGGGCACAAGAAAGGCACCAACTATGGGGACAGGCGAGGTCCACCGAAGATGCAGCGTAACCTCTGACGACCCGATCTGGATCGCGAGCGTGCTGTCCACGAGCCACGTGTCTCCCACCGCGCGCCCGGCGGACACGCCGACTGCCAGCAGGCCGGGGCAGGCCCCTAGGGCCAGGAGGCTCCAGCACAGGCGGGGCCCACGGGGCGCGGGCATATGTCCGTGGTTACAGCGGCGCGCAGGCGAACTAATTTACGGTAGAGTCGGGTGATCCGGGGCCTAGGCCTCGACGATACGATGCGTAACCCACAACGGCTCGAGCCACAACGGTGTTGAGGCGGCAGGAGGACGAGGCGGACGGTGAAGCAATGATGGACGCATGGAAAAAACAAGATCAAATCGAGGACAGGAGGGATAGGAGGGATAAGGGGAGTGGAGAAGAAGAAGGTGATCAGGAGGGAGAGGACCAGCAGCAACGGGAGGAGGAGGCGGAGGCGGAGGAGGAGGAGGAGGAGCTGAGAGGCGAAGGAGGCGAGGAGAGAGGATGACGAAGGAGGATCAGACGAAGCCAGGACGACGATAACATCGGGTGAGGTTAAATCGGGAATCTCTGACATCCGGCGGTTCCGGAGGCCTTCTCCGAGCGTCCTGGAACGATCTGAGAGCGTTCTGAAACGCTCTGGAACGGATTTATCCTCGTCCTAGTCCCGCCCGAGAGGAGCGGAAGAGGGGACGGAAGAAGAAGGGACGGACGTCAGGAGAAGGAGGCACAGCGTCGTGCCGCGTCAGGAGAAGGAGGAGGAAGCAGGGGCAACGAGGATGGCTGAGAGGCTGACCCTCTCTTACGCCCAAGGAGCTCGGACTCAGATCCCTGGGAGCGTGGATTGAGATTCCGGGGCGGAGCAGGCGTGTGACGACCTCTGGGCCCACGACCCCTTGCGAGCTCCTCTTAGATCCCTCCCCCTTGGACCCGCTGGAGCGAGCGCGCAGAGTAGAAGAGGAGGAGGACGAAGAGGATGAAAAAGGAGCTGAAGGAGGAGATGAGGAGGAGATAATAGGGGCAGGAGAGAAGAGGAACACCTCTGAGGAAGCTGGAGGATGGGCTCGCCCGCCTCCAGAGGAGGCAGGTCGGAGAAGAGGAGGGGCAAAGAGGAACCTAAATGAAAAACAGCGCGAAGTGGCCGCGCATCCGGGACACGGAACTCGTCCACATCAGTCAACAACACCATCAACAACACAATCGTCAAAATCAACATCGCCATCATCACCGGTCGGCTTGTCATGCTAAACCGGCGGCGCAATCAGACGCCCAGGCCGATACACCCGCATACAAGGCGTAACGACAGTGTTAACTGGTCTCTTAAACTCGCAGATCGCGCCCAACGAGCGCGACGCTCGAAGCTCGAATATCTTCGCGCCCTCGCGCCGCCGCCTTGGAGAAGGGCAACCGCTCTGACCCAGACCACGACGCGCGAATATTTTGGCGCCTCCGCAGGTGACTTAGATTAAACATGAAAAGCCATCGTCAAAGGAGGTCCACAGCCGTTAAATCCCCTGCCGAGTGTTAGAGTCAGAAAGAAGCACGGGCCCTAATGATACGCTGCGCGTAGGAGTCAAACCAATCTAACAGACTCCCCGATCGATTGCGGCTGGTTCGGGCAACCGTGCTGTACAAACACTGGCGCGACAAGAGTGACACATTTATCAAAGAGTGCGACCCGCAAAGCTCACAATACATGTAAGGAACAACTTTCATCGCAACATGCCCCGTGCCATGCGGGATGGAACAAGGGAGCCTGGGCAATCCCCGAGGAGGGAGGGCAAGGGAGATGGAGGTCGTCATTGAACCGTGGCATGAGCATGAAGCCGTGCTCAATGGAGCGGGAGGAAGGATAAGGAAGATAATGAAGACGACGGGGAAGGCCGTCTTACTTCACAACGGCCTTGCTGGTCATATTGGCAAACAATGCCGATTCGCTACACAACGTGACTGGTCCGCGGATCGAGAACGGAGTGTCATAGCATCCGGACAAAAGGGCTGCAACTCAGCCAATCGTCGAGCATGCGAGTCGGCGCACTCGCTGCCTAAAGCCATCCTCGCCGCCTGGGAAGGCAACATGACATCGAGATGATCAGCCACAGCTATAAATTCCCCGATGGAGGGGAGAGGTTGAGAATGTGTGGGAGGACCGAGAGGAGGTTTCCTGACGCCTCTGGATGCTTCCTAGGGTCCCCGCAAGTCCCTGGAAAAAAAACAGTGTAAAGATGATGCACGCGAGGCAGTTTACTCAATCGAGCCAACCACAGCGTGTGCGATTGGAAGTGGGTTCCCCTGAGCAGAAAGCCGTCACTCCGATGAGAGCGTGGCCAAGCTATGTGACCATCTGCTGCTTGAGGAACACTTGTTTGGTGCAGCACACCCTCCCTTGCCCAAGTGGTTCAGGATGCGCTACACCACGTGCACATTTTGAACGCTGGATGCAATACTTTCTTAGATATCCCGATACATTTTGTGGCAGTGACTACCCAATTAATCCAGCACTTCGTTCACGAAAAAACTGGTCACATGATGGCCAGTCTTCTCCTGTTGCTGCTGATGTGGCTCATCATTATGCTCCTTTCCCTCCTTCTCCTCATCTGGTTCTGCAATCGACTCAACACTCTACTCTTCATGGCCTTGTAATAGTAGACCGTTTGATAAGTGGTCGACTCCGTGTACTCCTCGGTCGACACCGTGTTCACCAACACCCTCAGCCACGCGAGGGGTAACAAAATGAAGAGAGCAGGAGCACGGCTGGGATCGGTCAGGGGCGTGAGTGAAAGGAGCTGCAGGGTGCCCAGGAGGCCTCCGTCATAGGCGGCCCAACATAAAGCTAAGCACGAGCACGCCTGAATACCTCGAGCTCCCGATCCTCGCTGCTCGACGCATGAGCACGGCTCGCAGCAGCCTGGGCTGATGGAGATAGGCAAAGGGGCAGGGGGCACCGAACGTGGCCACGGGGACCGGGCGAGAGGGACCGGCGAGGCGAGGAGGGGACCGAAGGAGGAGAAACGGAGTAGGGCAGCGGGACGGCGAAAAAGTTGATCTTATATGGTTCTTCGCCCAATAAGGGGCGGAAGGTTCACTGACGGCAGCCATGCACCACCTCCATCCGTGGCCAGGGCCACCCTGGGCCTCAGGATCGTGTGGTCCTCCAGGTTGAGGCCAGGAGGCGGCATACACCACCCCCAGGGCTGAGGCCTGCCCTGGCCAGAAAGGTGGGTGTGTGCAGCTTCCGCGTGTGGAAAAAAAGAAATAAGAAGACGAAAAAGCAGGACCTGAGACTCCACGGCTCGTGATCCCACGCCTTCCCCTTCGCCACCTCGTCCTCCTCGTGCTCCCGCTCCTCGCTATCATCTGCCTCGAAGTTCTTCTCCTCGCCGCCATCTTCATAATCATCCTCCTCTTCCTTTTACTCCTCCTCCCCCTCCTCCTCCTCCTCATCATCATCCTCATCATCAGCATCATCATGATCATCATGATCAGCAGCAGCATCATAATCATCAGCAGCAGCAGCATCATCATCATCATCATCATCATCATCATCATCATCAGCATCCGCATCCGCATCATCATCATCATCATCATCATCATCATCATCATCATGATAATCAACATCATCATCACCATCAGCATCATCACCATCACCATCACCATCACAATCATCATCATCATCACCATCATCATCATCATAATCAGCATCATCATCAGCGCCATCATCATCATCATCAGCAAACACAGCATCAGCATCAGCATTATCATCCTAATCACACTCACCACCAACATCAGCATCACCATCATCAGCATCAGCATCGTCATCATCAGCAGCAACACCAGCATTATCATCACCATCATCATCAGCAGCAACGTCGCCATCAACATAATCACCGTGCATATCTTAATCAGCATCATCGTCATCATCACCATGAGCATCACCATCATCACCATCACCGTCACCATCATCAATATTATCACCACCATCATCATCACCATCACCATCATCATCGTCATTATCGTCATCATCATCATCATCAGCATCATCATCGTCATCATCCCGCCGCCGAGGAGTGGGGTGGGTGGGAGACAGGATGAAGCATGGGGGCGTTGGACTCAGACGCCCGGTAACTCCAAAAGTCGCGACGGAGAGTAAAGGGTGCAGGAGCAGGGAGGTGCAATCATGCTGCTGCAAGAAGGACCACTAGATGAGGAATGAAGCCCCTCTTCATCACCACAAGAACCTGGGTGTACGAGGAAGGCTACAAGAACCTTCACGTAATGGCCCAAGGAACCGCAAGCGACCTCACTTCAGCATCTTGACTGTAGGATGGACGCAGGGCGTACAGGGGAGGGGAGGCGCAGAGAGGAAAGGAGGGAGAAGGGAGGAGAATGAGGGAGGGGAGGGAGGAGGGGGGGGGACGGAAACGAGGGGAATGGGAATGAAGACGATAGGAGGGAGAAGAAAAGAGCCCCGATGTCCGCCTGCTCGAATTCTGCCCACGCCCTGGCTCACCCCCGCTTGTGGCGGGGTTGCGTACTGTATAGGCAAGGCAGCGGCAACGCTGTTCGCAGGATTCCCGGTTGCGGGCCTTGCTTCTTCCACGAGTCCTTCGCCCGCCCCCCCAGCCGCGAAGTCCGAATATTCCTCCTCCATGCTCTCCCTCCTGTTGAGCGAAGCGGTGTGGTGACAAACCGTGCGGCGGCCTCGGGATCCCCCAAAGACCTCACCGCACGTTCCGTCACCGCGCGGTTTTGGGACCCTGGAGGCCCCAGTCACCCGAGACGCCCCGGGAGAATAACTCGAGTCCCAACGCAGTGGGGCACTCCGAATCCCCACTGATTCGCCACGCTGTGTGGTCACCGCACCGTTCCTGGGACCCCGGTCCTCCTCCACTTCCTCCGCTTACCCCGTCTAGGGGGGCACGCGCGACATGATGCTGGCCTCTGCGCTCAGGGGTTGCCTGAGCGACCCATTCGGGGGAGGTGCGGGCGCGTGCGGGGATCGCTACGTACTGGGGCAAGGGGTGTGTAGTGGGGCAAGGGGGGGGGGCGCAGGGGGAGTAGAATATGGAGCGTTGCAAGGAAGGCCTCGTCGTCGGGGAAGCCCGGGGAAGCTGGGAGTTCAGGCAGAAGGCCAGGAGGCGGCGGAAGGCTGGCGGAATTAGACCGGCTCCGCCGGCGGAAGCCCGGCCGAAGCCAGCGGAATCAACAATTGCATTCCGAAGAAGTGCAACTTTGATGGATTCGACATCGATTTCAGCGAATTGGGAACCTCTTTCCACTTTTTCCCTCCTCCTTATCATTCCCCTCATGCTTCGTGGGGTTCTGGTTTTCTTCCCTTCCGCGTCTCACCCGCGTCTCCTCCTTCTCCTCCCTCTCCTTTTGGTTCATTCTCACCTCACGGAGAGCGCGGCAGGCGTGGCTCCTCCCTCTCCTTCTCTGCGCAGGGCACGGCAGGCGTGGCAGTTTCTCGACACCAGAGGGGGTGCGCAGGCTGTGGTCCCTGAGCGCGGCGTCTATGCGGGCCATGGCGCAGGGCACGGCATGCGTGGCAGTTTCTCGACACCAGAAGGGGGTGCGCAGGGGGTGGTCCCTGAGCGCGGCGTCTATGCGGGCCATGGCGCAGGGCACGGCAGACGTGGCAGTTTCTCGACCCCAGGCAGAGCGCGCAGAGGGTGGTCCCTGAGCGTGGCGTCTATGCGGGCCATGGCGCAGGGCACGGCAGGCGTGGCAGTTTCTCGACACCACAGGGGGTGCGCAGGGGGTGGTCCCTGAGCGCGGCGTCTATGCGGGCCATGGCGCAGGGCACGGCAGGCGTGGCAGTTTCTCGACACCAGAGGGGGTGCGCAGGGGGTGGTCCCTGAGCGCGGCGTCTATGCGGGCCATGGCGCAGGGCACGGCAGGCGTGGCAGTTTCTCGACACCAGAGGGGGTGCGCAGGGGGTGGTCCCTGAGCGCGGCGTCTATGCGGGCCATGGCGCAGGGCACGGCAGGCGTGGCAGTTTCTCGACACCAGAGGGGGTGCGCAGGGGGTGGTCCCTGAGCGCGGCGTCTATGCGGGCAATGGCGCAGGGCACAGCAGGCGTGGCAGTTTCTCGACACCAGAGGGGGTGCGCAGGGGGTGGTCCCTGAGCGCGGCGTCTATGCGGGCCATGGCGCAGGGCACGGCAGGCGTGGCAGTCTCTCGACACCAGAGGGGGTGCGCAGGGGGTGGTCCCTGAGCGCGGGCGTCTCGACACCAGAGGGGGTGCGCAGGGGGGGGTCCCTGAGCGCGGCGTCTACGCGGGCCATGGCGCAGGGCACGGCAGGCGTGGCAGTTTCTCGACACCATCCCTGAGCGCGGCGTCTATGCGAGCCATGGCGCAGGGCACGGCAGGCGTGGCAGTTTCTCGACACCAGAGGGGTGGTCCCTGAGCCAGGGTCGTCCAGGCATAGCAGGCGTGGCAGTTTCTCGACACCACAGGGGGTGCGCAGGGGGTGGTCTCCCTATGCGTGCCAGGGTCGTCCAGGCATAGCAGGCGTGGCATTTCCTCGACACCACAGGGGGCGCGCAGGGGGTGGTTTCCCTATGCGTGCCAAGGTCGTCCAGGCATAGCAGGCGTGGCATTTTCTCGACACCAGAGGGGGTGCGCAGAGGGTGGTCTCCCTATGCGTGCCAGGGTCGTCCAGGCATAGCAGGCGTGGCATTTCCTCGACACCACAGGGGGTGCGCAGGGGGTGGTCTCCCTAAGCGTGCCAGGGTCGTCCAGGCATAGCATGCGTGGCATTTTCTCGACACCAGAGGGGGTGCGCAGGGGGTGGTCTCCCTGTGCGTGCCAGGGTCGTCCAGGCATAGCAGGCGTGGCACACAAGACATAAAATCAGTATGTGGGGTTCCTCGGTAGCGTAATTGTTGTCGTCCCATTCCACCCCCCTCTCCTGCACGTCATCCTCCGTTTCCTCCCTCCAGCTGGTTCGCACGAAACCGTCCGTCTTGAGATATTTTGCCGCGGGTACACGTACAAACACATGCCCCATCTATGTCGAACTTCGGGAGATGCGCCCCGATTTTCAGTACGGAACAGGAGATCCCCACGGGACACCAGCCGACAGGCTCACCTCTTATTTCATGCGCCTGAGTACAATGTGCTCGTTCAACCCTCAGGCTCTCCTCCAGACCAGCTTGATGCTCCTGAAACACACCGTAAGGCGCGGTGGCTGCTTCATGGGATCCCATTAGGAAGCGAGCTGAGCTGAGGCCCACCTGGAGCAATCCAGAAGTCAACAGACGCACCTGGAGGCAACTGGAATTCTCTAGAGTCCTCCCAGACGCCACCGTGTCAGCACCACGAACAGCGGCAATACCCTGTCAGGGCGGTTTGTTATTCCGCCCTGGCGGTATGGCAAAGCAAGGTGCCACGATGTCCGCAAGCCCAGAAAGGGAGCAGCTGCCCGAGAGGGAGCCGACGGGCGAGCGCCGCACGTGCACATGCTGATGCGAGTGCGCGAGCGCACACGGAAGTCACGCGAAGCGCCTCGGGCGCCGTGGGCGCCCAGGCCCTGGGCGCCCAGGGCGGACCCTGGGCGGATGTACTGGCCCTTCGTTTTGCCTTCCTTCTCGTCCCCGGAGACCTCGGCCACTCCCCAAGGTTCTTCTCTGAGCCCATTCGGCGCCCGAGCCCGCTCGGCCACAGAAAGAAGCCACAATCTAGCCCAGTCGGCGGCCGAACGAGCTCAATTCCCAGCCCAATCGAGTGGCCACTCGGCGGCCGAATGAACTCAAACGCCAAATTGGCTCAAAGGGTAACTGTATGATTTTTCCCGGGACCCGCTTTCCATCCCATGTCGTTTCTGGACGGTCCCAATGCGCTACGTCGCAAATAGTTCGTCACGCGCAGGGGTCTGGATTGGTAGGTTTTCTGGCCATGCCTCGGGCCTCGGGCCGCAGTTCGGGACCATCGGGGTATCTCTGAACGCCTCTCGGCGAGGCGCAGCTAATGGAAAGCACCCCAGGTCGCCAAAACACACAAAACATAGAAAACTGAAAGAATGCAACCTGAAAACTCATGCCTTCTCAAGCTACTGGTGGTCCTTCTCCCCAAAAAAAACATAAGGTGGCGTTCCCTGCCCCTGCTGGGGGGGGGGCTTAGCGAACGCGTCTGGGCTGCCAGGGCAGCCGCATGTTGGAAGTCGTGGTCCCCGAGTACACCTCGTACTGGACGTTCCCGGGGGCGTCGCCTGTGCCAATGGGCTCGGTCAGATCCGTGGATCGTGAAAAATAAGGACGGCCAGTTTTGACGAGGCTGTCTCCTGACGGTTAGGCCACAATTGCACCATTCGCGGAAGAGGATCCAAAACAGCTGTTTCAAGTACGAAGAGTGCGGTATCAAGAGTAGCTGTATGAATGCAATCCAAGAAGAAAGACATGCAATCTCGAACATGGTCCTTCCTCCCTCACCTTCTCGTCCCGCTCCGCCACCCCCACGCGCGCCGTGCGGCGGTCCACTCATGTTCGCCATTACCTCTTGATCCTCTCCCCCCTTCCTCCTCCCACTTCCCCTCCTCCTCCTCCTCCTCCTCCTCCTCCTCCTCCTCCTATCCCTCCTCCTCCACCACTTCCCCATCCTCCTCCGCCTCACCCCCAAAGGTCGGTAGTACACGCTTGTTTTGTTGTCCATACTCTCTACACGAAACACGGCGCCCACTTATCCCCAATGAGGCACACATCACGGCAACGAATGACACATCGAGGACTGTGAACAGATCAACCTGCGACGGGAAAGGCGAAAAGACCCCAGGCAGACACTCAATACGGGACAAAGAAGCATTACAACATCGGTCACGAAGTGCTTTTGGGCTGCGCCGGAGGCCAGGATCTGGGGTTGCCTTCGGCAACTTCCGCCCAGGACCGCCGCTCCTTCTCTCTGGGCGATCGAAAAGAAGCGGAGAGGGAGAAACATTGTGGGCCGTCGAGTTGCTCCCCTCCTCCTCCACCTCCTCCGCATGGGACCGTCGCTCATTCCCTGCGCGCTCGAAGAAGTAGCGGAGACCGCGCAGATTTCTTGGATCGGCACTGGACCCCCCCTCCCTGGGAAGCGGAGCGCGCAAGGGGCGAAACCAGATGCGCCGCCAGCGTGACCCAGCGCAGATCCAAGAAATCCGAGTGGACCTCCTAAAGCTTACATTTACGCAGTTATGTCTTCGTCTTCTTCTTCTTCGTCTTCGATCTCCTCTGCTTATCCTCCTCCTCCTCCTCTTCCTCCTCTTCTTCCTCCTGCTCTGGAATTAGAAAACAAGTTGTGCGGACGAAGACGAGGCGAAAAGATCGAACGAAGGGTCGGCGGCCGACGGCGGACGCCTCCGGCTTCGCCCGTATTCGTTGGCCCGGTCCAGCTGATCGACACCTCGTTGGTGACGGCCGCGGACGGGTCCTTCCTCGCGAAAGCTGTAGGGACGTTGGGGGGATCCATGATGTAGCCTGGGGAGCGGCGCGGCCAGCGGAGCAAAGAAGAGGCCGCACACAACCACATGCTGAAAGAGGGCCGCAAAGTACGGAGAGAGGCGGCAGAAGCAGGGGTGCGACATGGAGCGAGATCACAAGATGGCGGTCGCACGACACCTTATGGTTCAGAAGTCCACGGTGAGCAACAACTCGAAAAACTAACTAGGCTCCACTAGCACTATCTGCTGTGCTACGGGGAGGGATTTCTGCTTCGCGTGTCGCGGCGGCAGCCAGGCGGAACGCTATACCTTGCAATCGGATTGCGTGTCGCTCCGTTCACGTGGCGGGAGGCTGGGAAAAGCTGGGGGTGTAAATAGAAGAACAACCAGCTGCATAAACATAAACTATTGGAGGTCCGCGCGGATTTCTTGGATCTGCGCTGGACCCCACCCTCAGGCGCGCGTGGCGGAGCCGGGGGCGCCGCCACAGGGGTCCAGCGCAGAGCGCAGATCCAAGACATCCGAGCGGATCTCCAAAACATGGATGCATGCACTTGTTTATTATCTGGACGCCCGGCATGGGTACGGAAAAAGAGGGCACGATGCCCAACAACACATGTTGTCCAAAACCGGCAGCGGCCGCGGTTGGGCAGGTGGCCTTCTTTCTCAAACGGGCTACGTCCCCGGCGACGTCGACAACGAATCTGGTTCAAAATGAACAAAAAACGGCTGTCGGTCTTCGTGCCCTCTCCCTCCGCGCCCCTCTCAATCGTACCGATCTCCGACCCAAACATAGTCGGGGACGCACTGACCCGGGTCAATGCAAACCCGGGTCCGTCGGGCGTTGCAGAATCATGCAAAATCCTACCGAACAACCTTCAGGATCCTACGCGCTAGCCCGGGTCAATGCAACCCTGGCCCTATAGGATCCTGCAACATCTGGCGCTCGGGCTGGCTCCCGTCTGTGGGAAAAAGGTACCGCTGCTCCCTGGACGTCTCCTGGTGAGTTATGACTAGGATTCCGAACGAACCCAGCGGTAGCAACGAGTTGCTCCCAGGAGGCCCAAGAGGGCGATGATGGGCGAAGGGCAGCGGTATGGGCACCCTCTCCTCCTCCGAGTTTGCATTGCTACACGTCTCAAGGCTCCCGACAGACGCTGCCCTCTCCGCCTCGCCGACAGGAGGCCCGAGAGAGACAGCGAGAGCAAATGCTCGGGCTAGCAGCCCCTGCCGACGCCCGAGGTGGAGGAGGCCCAGGCAGGGGTGCCGACGCCCCATGCCTTGCGCCGCCGACAGCCACGGTGGGCAGATCAGAGCCCAGAAATGCTCGCGTCGTGGAAAAATCGGGACGGACGTCGTTTGCAGCTTTCGGCCTCCAGAGGCCCTCGCCAGGCCCCAGGACTGTCAGAAGACGGCTCGGAATGAAAAACTGGCCCCGGGAAAGGGTCAGGACTTCCGCGGACCCCGCATTGCAAAAATTATCCCAGAGCGACCCTACCTAGGACTTGGAGCCCCGAGGAGAGCGATATTAGTAGTAACGGTAAACGCCGTCCTCCTCCTTCTCCTCATCGTCGCAGTTGTAGCAGTAGCGGTAGTAGTAGTAGTAGTAGTAGTAGTAGTAGTAGTAGTAGTAGTAGTAGTAGTAGTAGTAGTAGTAGTAGTAGTAGTAGTAGTAGTAGTAGTAGTAGTAGTAGTAGTAGTAGTAGTGTAGTAGTAGTAGTAGTAGTAGTAGTAGTAGTAGTAGTAGTAGTAGTAGTAGTAGCAGTAGCAGTAGCAGTAGCAGTAGCAGTAGCAGCAGTAGTAGTAGTAGTAGTAGTAGTAGTAGCAGTAGCAGTAGTAGTAGTAGTAGTAGTAGTAGTAGTAGTAGTAGTAGTAGTAGTAGTAGTCGTAATAATACAGCTGTGCGATGATATGCTATGCAATGGTATGCTGTGCTGCGCTATGCTATGCTATGCTGGGCGATGACATGATATGATATGCTGCGCTCTGCTATGCTATGAAATGCTATGCTATGCTATGCTACGCTGCGCTACGCTATGCTATGCTATACTATGCTGCGCTATGCTATGTTATGATATGATGTGCTGCGGTATGTTATGGTATGATATGCTATGCTATGATATGCTATGATATGCTATGCTATGCTGCGCTGTGCGATGCTAAGCTATGCCATGCTATGTTATACAGCGCTATGGTATGGTGTGCTGTGCTATGCTATGATATGCTATGCTATGCTATGCTATGGTACGACATGCTATGCCATGCTATGCTAATGCTGCGCTGCGCTGCGCCAAGCTGAGCTAAGCTGAGCTAAGCTAGGCTAGGCTAGGCTAGGCTAAGCTAAGCTAAGCTAGGCTAGGCAAAGCTAAGCTAAGCAAAGCTAAGTTAAGCTAGGCTAAGATAAGATAAGCAACGTTAAGCTAAGGGAACGTCACTGGGGGAACCGCGGGGCGGATACTGGGGGAACCGCCCGGGGCGAGTTACACTGCCCGGCCCTCTAAGCACACCGAGTAAGAACCCTTCTAGGCAGAGCCAGGTAGGGAATCAGGGCGCAGCACGTCTGGGAGGGTCACGTTTGTTGCAAGCAGGCGTATCTGTTGGAGAGAGGGAGGCGGAAGCGAATGGGCACGGCAGGACGATCATCCTGCCGATGCACTCGTCACTCTGTCCACCGCGGGCTTGAGGAGTGGAGCACGGAGCCATACGCGTTTACCCGCAGAACGTATCAGCGCCAGGGAGGGGGAGGGGGACGAGGAGGAGGAGCAGGGGGGGAGCGGCGGCCACGGTGGGCAGAACAGAGTCCACCTGCCCCATCCCTCCTGGCAGGAAGGGCGGGGGGAACGCTGAGGCGGACCAGCTCAGGGATGAACGCATCGGACCAGACTCGGAGATACGTCGCCGATACATCGCCACGTCAGAGGGCACATCAAAGTCCGCCTGCCACATCCACCCTAACAGGAAGACCTCAGCACTCGGTGGATATGGATCTGCCAAGGTCCCCGAAGATCGATTCCCTAGGCGGTGGTCATGGATGAATCCCCTTCTCGGGGGAAGGCGAGCGGAGGACGAGGAGGAGAATAAGCACGCGGGGCAGAGGCAGCACACGGCAACAGCAAAAACACGGACAGAGACAGGGAAACAGAAAGATGTCGGAGGTCCACGCGTATTTGCTTGGGTCGGCGCTCGGCGCCTGATTTCCTTCCCCGCGCCCGTGGCGCGCTCCGCACTAGAGGAAGGGGTGTGGGGAGAAGGGTCCAGCGCCAGCGTGGGCCCGCGGAAATGTGTGTTCATGACACTGCTGATGTTTCGATGGTAGCCCATCGAGCTTGGACGTTCTCGCGCTCGATGGAGAATCTAGCGGCGCGCCATCGCCTTCGGCCAGCGGAGATTCCATACTGTCGACTTGCTGCTTCAGACCTGTCGCCCCATGGCAACCCTGGAACGCCTGTTGGGTGAACGGTGAACTGAAAAATTGACACAACCACTCTGCTGCCGTACTTCGACCTCCGATGCTACCCATACAAGGCATCACGCAAGCAGATGCGCCACAATACTTTTACACAACCATCTGTCTCAATGATTGCATCACAGCAATGCCGCAAAATCGACAAGCGAGCATTGCTGCGGTGTCGATGTTTCTTCGAACGGCGTATACCATGAAGCAAGGTCTAGGATCCTGGCTAATTCTGCAGAGCCTGCATCTCTTCATGGAAACGATGCGGCACCACAAGGGATCAAGCAACAGGTCTACGCCAGATGTCAGTTCTGTATCGGGCCCATGCGATTTGTACCTCTCAAACGGTTTCGGTGCTTCCGCCCTGCCTTCTTGCCATCCTCTGTCCTCCCCCACGCTATTCCCTTTTCCCAAGCGCCCTCCTCCACTGCCATCCAGCCCCGCTAGAAGGTGAAGAATACACCAAACCCTGACCCCGATCGGCATGGCCAGGATTGGTGTATGATTCGCGCACTCAGACACGAAGCAGGCGAGGAGGACGACCGAGAGCCCGTTCTTTAGTATTCGCGATAACGCTCGTTACCGGCACCACTCAACCCAATTCCCCCCCTTGTCACGTCACGATTCGCGCTGGTGCCCTCTGGAAAATAACCATTCCCGAGCATTACCAGACGGCGCCAGCGCGAATCGTCACATTACTGGCCCCCTCACCCCTCACCCGCCCCGCGGTCCACGCCTGTTATCACCACGGGACCAAAAATGTCTCCAGAAAGGTTAATTGTTTCGCAAGTCCGTGCCGTGACGAAGTTGGCGCTGGAATCCGACACCACGGGAAAAGTTGTTCAGCAGTGCGGATCGTTCGATATCGGCCGATTCTGGGCCACAAACTGACTTCGGGGGCGTCCGAAGAGAGGAGGGGGCGTCCAAGACGGGGGTTCGCAAATCATTCCCGGAGGGATAAGCGCTGACGAGGACAGGACGCAAAGGAAAGGGGGCCATGAAATCCGAGCAGATCTCATGGCCCACGCTACGATACCCCCCCCCCAATCGTCACCCCTACCTCTTGGCCGCAGTCGCCACCTTGCCAATGTGGCGCGAACCTTCCGTAAAGAAGGGGGTGAGCGAAGGGACGAGATTGCTTTTCATTCCCCCCGGACGGTCCGTTGTGGGGGAAAGGGATTCACAGCCTGCCAACACCACAGCATGCCTGTGAGCTCCGTGCCATGCCTCTGGGGGAATCGTCACCCCCTCGCGTACGCTCAAGACCGTTTCGGTGAGAGGGGGGCGATCTCCGGTAACAAGCGGACGCCGCAGCTTCACCGCATTAAAACAACAACAGAAGACTCTCTTTCTCTCTCTCTCTCACTGTCTCTCTCTCTCTCGATGGTTCGGGCACAAATGCGATGTTGCAGGGGCAGTGGCCGCTGGGAGACCAGAAGCCGCTCAAAACCAACACACTCCCCGTGTATCCTGGACTGCTATTCGCCCTGGGTCGATCTCGAGACGGCCCCGGGGCCTGAAACAGAGCAGGACTCTCCGGAGGCCCAAGCCGAACTACCACAAATCTACTGACAGCAACGACGACGAGAGCGGCGAACATGAGCATCGGGGCCTCTCGGGGCGTCGACGGTCGTGTCGGACCAGTCGGACCACGCTCCCGTGCCGGCCTCTGAGAAAACCAGAGGGTACCGATACCGCTCCTCCCCAGACCTCTTGTGGGGGCGCGTTCTGACTAGGATTTCGAGGCGATTCCAGCGGTGGTGACGAGGGCCTCCAGGAGGCCCAAAAATATGGAAAACGTAGGCCGGGTAGCGGTATGGGTATCTGTTCCTCCTCTGAGCCTCGTTGATGGCCGCAACCCTGAACTTGTACTGCAGCCCAGCGAACATGTTGGAGACTTGTGGATCTTGCAGCACCACGGTCTTGGCAGACGCCGCGGCGTGCACGCGTGCCATGTCGCAGGAAGCAGATATGGCGCCCCCCGATCGCTTCCGAGCCCATTCGAGGCGCCGCAAGGCAGCATGCAAGAGAAAGACCCCGACCCAGGTGGCCGACTCCAGAAACTCTGGGCGCGCCGTTGTTAGCCTCCCTTGGGTGGTCTTTCCGTGAAAAAAGTAAAGCAAATTCCTAATCACAATTTCTCGGTGTTGCGCGCGGACTTCTTGACTCGGATTTTTCTTGGATAGGCGCCGCCCATGGCGCGCTCCGCGCGCCAGAGGGGGGCACAACGCCGATTCAACAGATCCGCGCGGACCTGCTAGAAACCATATTGAAGCGTTTTTTGTCCTCCGATCACTTCGGGGATGACCCAGGTCAATGCAAACCCTGGCAAATCAGGCTTTGCAGGATCCTGCAAATCCTGCAGGATCCTGCGCCCTAGACCAGGTCAGTGCAGCCCTGGCTGTGCAGGATACTGCAAGGTCCGGCGCCCTGGCTGACCCCCGTTTGCATTGATAGGAGAGCTCCGAACAATACACCACCACAAGCCCTAGCCAGGCCCATCCCCGGCCCTGGACTGGTGTACAGGCCCTCTGGCCTAGGCCTTGAGGTCCATACAACAGTCCGGATCCCAGGATGGACCTGGCCAAGCTGGTAGTGGTGTATTGTTGGCGTCCCTCCGGATTGACGCCCGTCTCAAGGCTCCCGATATTAGCACCCGACAGCTTCCGCCGGGCTTCCGCCGGGCTTCCGCCAGCTGCCGCCAACAGCGCCAGCCCTATGTTGCGGCCGCGGGGTTATCCGAGTCCTCCAGCCGAGGGCAGGTGGCCAGCTCTCAAGCCGCTTGGGAGGCGCGCAGCGCCCTGGGAGGAGGAGAAGCGAGAGGGGCAAGGCTTGGGATTGCACGCAGACTTAGCTGCTCCGATGCTCGGCGGCGAGCGAGGAGTAGAAGCGAGAAGGAAAACGCCTTCTCAGAATGTGGCGGGACTTCTCAGAAACACTCGCGCCTGCTGAAAGGTTTGTTGTTTCTTCAGGGAAGGCTTACAGAGCTTCTCGGAAGGCTTGGGGACTTCAGAGTCTTCTCAGAAAGCCCGCCCGCACCTTCTAAATTCCCCCCAGTTTCGCCGCCGAGATACGCGCTTCAACAAGGGCGTATCGGGGCAGCTCTGCACACAGATGCGTAGCAACTGGAGGTGGTACAGGCTAGCCTCGACGGTCCTCACACGCACATATATAGAGAGAGGGAGAGAGAAAGAGAAAAACAAACAAGAGAGAAAGAGAGAGAGAGAGAGAGAGTCCGGGGCGTTCTGGGCATCTCAACTCTGGGGGTCGCCGCCTGAGTCGGCGCTGTGGTTGTTCAGTGCGCGGGCCAAAAATCGTTCGAACCCCAATCTTGAAAAGCGATAGGGCTTGGCCGAAGAGGCGTGCAAGTGAGTTCCAACTTACGTGAAATCCCGACTTCCCCTCGGGCCTCGCCACGCACGCACCCCTCGGACGGCCCAACAACACCGCGCCCAGCCGCACGTTTACCGCGCGGGGCCCAGGTCAAAATCCGCTGCCGACCTGGCGTTTCCCGAGCGACGCCCTGCCGCTGCCGTTACCGCCCGAGCCGCACAGCGGCGGAGAGGCAATCACTCCAGGCCCTCCCGTCTCATCATCACCCCATCCTGTGGGGGGTCCTGGATTCATGCCGAATGCTGATCTGAGCTACAGACCCCTGGCGTCGCGATGTTTGCTCACAGCGTGGGCCCTCGGAGGTCTGGACCCCTACTCGCAGGCGGGGCCATTTTTACATCCCGTGCCGTCTTCGGGCCTCCCAAGAGGCCCACGAAGGCGAAAACGAGGAAGGGATAGCGGAATCGGTACCTTTTCGTCCTCTGAGGTCTAGTCCCCCGGCCCCAGGAGCTCTGATCACACGCAGGGACCGGGCACAGCTCAACACCAGTCACGCCGCCGCCAAGCGCTCTGAGCAGGGAGGGGGAGAAGAGACACCTCCAGCGAGGGGGTCCACGATGCCTCCCCGAGCTGGGAAGCGAGAGGGGGGACCACACCACCGAGGGGACCCCTCTGTAGCTCCTCCCGCTGGTGGTGACGGGTGGTGTTGGCGTCGCTCTTCCATGTGCCCTTCTGAGGCGGCCGCCAGGCTGGTCTGCGGATTGCCCGCGTCGCCTCCGGCGTCCCACGTCGTGGTCGTGCCGTCGTCCATCTTGTACACCCTTAGCGCCGTGGCGCTGTGCGCCCCGTGCTCGGCGGGCGCACGGGGGCCTGGTGCTCGTCCGTCGTCCCCCCCTGGGGCGCTGTGACAGCAAGAAAACTTCGAACAGCACCAATGTTGCCAAGGGCACGAAGAAGAGTCCAGCCAACCACTGATATCAAAGGGTAACGCGGGCGACCAGACAGGGGGAAAGGGGCGGAAGCCGTGAAGAACGACGGCGACCAGAAATACAACGGACAGGGAAAGGGGGGTAGGGGATGGGGGAAAGGGAAGCAGGCGGGTGGGTGGGAGAACCGCAAGAGGGGGAGCAACAAATGTCTATTTGACAGGTCAGCCTTGCCTGGGATCGCACAGACTGTTTTCGCGCGTGCTAAGTCACGACCTGCGACGGACATTGCTGTTCCTTGCTTTGTTGCTTTGCACGTGCCGCTCCCCTTCGTAGTAGAGGGGCGCCATGCATATACATACATGCATTCATATAGTCTTGCATACAAGTGCGCACATGTCTAAACATGTATATACATATATGTAGACATGTGTTTATATGTACCTATGTATATAAACACACATACACACATGTATATATATACACCCTCCTCTCTCTATGCATATAGGCATTTGATCCATGTCCCCTGCTCTACACGTTTATTGCAAGCCCAGGGGGTGGGACCCCCTCCCAAAGCTCGATCCTCTGGATCCGTGGTCCAGGGCGCCCCCTTGACGCCCTTGCAGAAAAGCACCCCCGGGCTTTCCGGAGCTTTTGGAAGCCCCTGCTGGGGGCCCAAATCGAGCTTTTGGAAGCCCCTGCTGGGGGCCCAAATCAATCAGGAGTCCGGCCGAACGGCACCCCGAGGGGCCCAAGAGGCCCCAGACATTCACCAGATGCCCGAAGACGACCCAAAGAAGTCCCCCTAACAGGCATTCGAAACTCAACTACAAAACATTGATTTCCCCGGGGCTTTGTGTATTAATGAATGCTCTTTTCGTTGGTCCTCCGGGCGTCCGAGACAGCCAAGGAAGCCCGAACATCGCCCCAAAACTACACGGAAGGGCTTCCAGGCAGTCCAAGCAAGCACAAAGACGGCCCAACAGGGCCCCAAGATAGCCGCAAGAGAACCCCATGACGGCCCAAGATGGCCCCAAGACGCCCCCCGAAGAATTCAAATCGTGACCCAGTTATTCAGGGAGACCGCGGTTGGAAGCAGGGAAGCAGGGTGCACCGAGGAAGTCCCCTGATGTCCCCAGAAGGCGTCCATGAGGCTTCCAGAAGCCCATAACAGCTTTCCTAAGGCCCCCGAGACGCTCTGCAAGGACGAGCCTCCGCACAAAGAGCGGACAGGGAAGCATTCGCAGGGTAGGGCGATAATGACGAAGAGAGAGAGAGAGAGAGGAAACATGATTCAAGGATAACAAATCACATTGTTTTGACGACGATATGGGATAAGGCAACTGGGGGCGATCACTCAATATAATGTTTTACCATTCTGCCCTTCCGCCTGACTGCCAAACTTCAACGACCAATGTGCGTGGCGCGAAGCGCCACTGCTGTCTTGTGTGTATATATGTAGATGCCGTACTCCCTAAACAGTGCATGCACCTAGGGGTTCTAATTTCTGTTCTTAGGAACTGGGCCGGTGTGGCGTTCTGGCGGCTACGTTGTCGCCGTCGCCGCCCCGTCGCTGCCTCGTCGCCGCCCGTCGTCTGGGCAAGTGCGGCGGTCTGGCGGCTACGTTGTCGCTGTCGCGCCCCGTCGCCGCCTCGTCGCCGCCCGTCGCCTGAGCCAGTGTGGCAGTCTGGTGGCTATGCTGTCGCCATAGCCGCCCCGTTGCCGCCTCGTCGCCGCCCGTCGTCTGGGCATGTCTGCCGGTCTTGCCGCTATGTTGTCGCCGTCGCCCCGTCGCCACCTCGTAGATAACACAATACAACATGGATGGCACATCGTAGATCGAGCAACATAGATTGCACAACATAGATCGCATAACTAATAGTGCATAATATCAGAGTGAGGAGCCCGAACGGTCATTAGTTGTCCCTGGGTGCGTGGCTGAATAAAGAACTCGTGGTGGGATTTCTGCCTGTTGCGATGTTGTTGTTGCTGTTGTTTGTTGTCGTCGTCCCACCCGCGACCCACTCGCGACCCACCCCGCGACCCGACTCGCGACCCACCCCGCAACCCACCACGCGACCCACCCCGCGACTCACCCCGCGACCTAACCCGCGACCCACCGGCAACCCACTCGCGACCCCACCCGCGACCCACCCGCGGCCCATCCTGCGACCCACCCGCGACCCACCCCGCGACCCACCCGCGACCCACCCCGCGACCCGCCCGCGACCCACCCCGCGACCAACCCTCAAGGGAGGAAAAACCACCCAGGCCCGACAATTGACGTTTACTCACCGGCCCTGGGCGTTGACTAAACAGCCCTGCCCTGTTCGATTCATTCTTTGTGTGCGTTTACTAACGGCTTCGCTTGTCGGGGTGATTCTTATGGGGTGGATTTTCTGCCCTCTACACCCGCGACCCACCCGCGACCCAACAACGACCCACCCGCGACCCACCCGCGACCCATTTGCGACCCACCCGCGACCTACCTACATTGGTTTAACTAAAGAAGAAATCGGCGCCTGCGGCGGGCTCGTTGCAGAATTTGCGAAACTTTGGCGCCTGCGGCGGGCTTCTCCAGAGTCTCGCAAACTGCCGACGTCTCCATCGCCTCCTTACTCTTATCCGCACTTGCGTGGTGCTACGTAAAGTGCACCATGTATAAGGCTCCACCCAGATTGCGCCACATAGGTTGAACAACATCGGCTACACATCATCGCACAACACATTGGTTGCACAACATAGATTGGTCAACATAGATTGCACCACACGGGTTGTTCCACAAAGACAGCACCACAGATACTGCTAAAACCAAACTGTTTGGAGTCCACGCTGGCTAACATACATGTGTACATATTATACACATACCAGCGCAAGCAGCTGGAGGCACCTTGAGAACCCTGGGGGGACCTCTGGAGCCTCGAGACCCCCAGAGACCGCAGAGACGGAGGGGTGGAAGGGAGGCTGTCGGAAAGAGGGTCGCGCCTCTTCCAGAACCGCTTCCAGAAAGCAGGAGGGCACCTGATGGTCGGGTACCCTCTGAGGAGGCCGCCCTCCTGTTCTTCAACCTGTGCCACACTTTGCCCCGCACCACTCTTACCACGCCTACCCACCCCAGCACACCGCAGGATAAGGAAGGCTACCAGATTTTGCAGGCTGTGGGCTAACCCATGCAAACCATCCGACTGTTGCGCAGAAGTGGCATTGCTCGGAATGGGGTGGGGGAGCCATACCTTCGTAATTGTATTGCGGTTCCCTTCCTCGGACTAGCATGCATGTGCCTGGAACATACGATGCTGCTGAGCGCGGAACTCTCCCACGTAGTTGAAGACAGCAGCGCCGTTGTCCGCCGGCGCATCCCAGGTGAACCTTGCTCCCGTTCCACAGGCAACGAGAGTGAGCGAGCCAGACACAAGTGCCCCATCCCTCCCCTGGCCGCCGAGGACCTTCCACAGAAAGGCATAGAAGCCTGATCCCATCACCACACCTGTCCCTGGAATGTTGTCCCCGCCTCAGGGGGGAAACGGTCGGCACGCAGAACTCCCTAAAGGACCCGGTGTGGCCAGAACACTGCCTCAAGGCTGGCCTGACGTCAGAAGCAAACCCAAACAAAAGAATATGTAGCGCCCCTCGCTGGATTACAAAGAAATTGTATCAAAATTGCAATTTGGAAGAATGTGATGTCTGCTGCTTCCCATGTCGCGTCCTCGCCCCATCCTCCATCCTGCTTCTTCCGTCCCGCCCGCTTCCTCCTCTTGCTATGATGTTTGTTTTTGTGTCCCTCCTCTCCTCATCCTCCTTTTCGTCCTCGTAGTATCTCACATGCCCCTGCTCCTGATCCTGATCCCTTGATCCTTCTCCTTGGCCTCCAACTCCTTCTCCTCCACATCCCTCCTTCCTCCACCTCCTCCTGCTTCTTCTCCTCTCCTGCTCTCTCCCCCTTCTTCCTCATCCGTTGCCTTTCTGGCTTTCGCTCATGTCCAGTCGTGGACGGATCTGGGCTCGAGCTTGCAGGGAAGACGCCAAACACACGCCCTCTGAGCGCCCCAGAGGCCGTTCGCGAGCGCTCCGAGCACCCCGCTCTGCTCCCATCTCCGCTCCCTGCGCCCCTGCTCCGCGGGGCGCCCGTGGTGACGGAGGGCAGGCGGCGGGGGTAGGCGGGTTGGCGGGCTGGGCGCATTGGGCTGCCAGGAGGGTCTGCGGGCGGGCTGGTTGGGCTGGCTGGGGCACTCGGTTTCGACGGCGGCTGGGGGCCCTTTGGGCGTCCCCTCCGTGGACACTGGCGGCCTGAAAAGTGAAGACAGTTTCGAAGATGGAAACTTTCCCATCGAGAACGTGGATGTTGAGAAGTGCGGCAAGCAATGACAATATCGCATGCGGAGCCTCTGACCGTGCTCGGGGCGCCCGCCCAGGCCGGTCCCCCACCGTACGGTGCGATTTGGCCCCGACATCTCCCCCCCTTGGTGGTGGCGATGCGGGTTGGCGTGGTAGCGGGTTGGGCTGCTTGGCGGGTTTGCCGGCGAGCTGGTTGGGCTGGCTGGTGTGCTGGCTAGGGCAGTTGGTTTCGACAAACAGTGTAAGAACAACAAGAGAGGAATGGTAAATCATGTGAGAGACGCTCTGCGGAAGGTGAAGGATAATCCGCAAGCCCGCCAGGTACCTGCGTGAGACGTATTTTTGCTGTTCCTCGCGCCTGGAGGGAGGGGCCGGACATGGGGTGCAGAGAGGGGTGTGTCCGAGAGGGGCCTGGGAGAGCGCGGACGCCCATGTGATGATGGACGCGCAAGCGGGCTGACGCTTGCAATGAGTAAATCAACGCCCAGTCTGCTATACACCGAAAGTGGCGACAGCACTGTGACATATACAAGAAGATGACTTGCAAAGAGCGAAGTATCTCGGAGGTCAAATACGCAGGCGACGCTTGACGAACACTAGCGGGCGTGGAAACCCGGCGTGTGTCGCAACGCGTGGACTGCGACTGTCGAAAAAGACGCACCCAGGAGTGCGCATATGCTAGCAGGCACCACATTGCAATGTCCTGGCGCATTGAAGGAAGATTGTTATAGCAAACTGTGGCTGTGATTGCCACGGCTGCGCGCGACATGCTACCTCACACTTGGATTGGGGAGTGTAGGGCAAGACTCATACATCCAATGCACCACGTACTTTACTCTGCTGACAACCGCTCCCCTGCGGTTTCATCATCACCCGTATCCAGGTAAGTCACAACCTTCTACTCCTAACCATGTTGCCCGTGTGCCTGCGTCCACTTCTATTCGAAATCTGGCTCGAGAACGCGGTCATTTCCACTGCGGGTGCCTCTACGACGCCTTACGCAATTCAAAATTAGCCGGGTGAAGGACCCAACCATGTGCAGCTGCGAGTAACGCAAGACAGGTGCTAAGGAAGGGGGCGAGCAAAGGACTAAGGCGTGCGTGAGAAAGACGGAGCGACGTTGCTGATGGGGTCGCAGGGCTCAGCCGCAAGGGGTTACGCCTGGATATGATCCGCCACGGCTGATCTGAACGTCTGTCGGCCCGGCCCTAGAGAGCAACAGGGCGCGGTCTGGGGAGCAGCAGGAGGTGGGGCCTTCGGTGGAGCTCCCACAGGGCCACGACACGTTCGAAGGGTGTGCCAACACGCGCGCGGTCACGCACGCGATTCCTGCCGATGGAGCATTCGGTGGAGCTCCCCAGGGGGGCCGCGAAACGTGCGAAGGGTGTGCCGGAATAGACGCGGCCACCCACGTGATTCCCGCCACTGTGGCCTTCGGCGGAGCTCCCTATGGGGCCACGAAGCGTGCGAGGGGTGTGCCCAAATGGTCTGGAAAGGCATGCGAACGCAGCCTCCGGGGCCTTCGGTGTGCCGACATGGGCGCGATCACGCATGTCAGTCCTGCCACTGGGGCCGTCCGTGGAGCTCCCTACAGGGCCGCGAAACGCGTGAGGGGTGCGCCGAAATGGTCTGGAGAAGGCATGCGAACGCAGCCAATGGCTGGGGCCTGAGGTGGAGCACCCGATGGGGCTACGAAGCGTGCATGCGAACGCAGCCTCTGGAGGCTTAGGTGAAGCTACCGATGGGGCCACGAAGCGTGAGGAGTGCTCCAAAGTGGGATGGCAGCGGCATGCGGACGCAGCCACTGGGACCTTAGGTGGAGCTTCCTGTGGGCCTATGGGGCACGAAAGGTGTAAGTGGTGTGCCAATGTGGCATGCGAGCGCAGCCACTGGAAGCCACTGGGGCCTCAGGTGGAGCTGTCTATGGGGCCACGTCGCTCGTGAGAGGTGCGCCAAAGTAGGGTTGCGGCGGCGTGCGAACGCAGGAGGGAGGAGGGCGAGGAGAAGGGCAGGAGGGAAGACGCCCAGCGCTGCTGATTTAAAACGAGGACCCATCTCAACACAAGATGGTTAGGAAACAACGGCATTCTGACGACAGTGACCGTCCTGCCAAAAGGAACGTCAGCGACACGTCGTCGTATGAGGCGGCCGTGTTGGTGAGATTCGTGATCTGCGACGGATAGGTTGCCGCCCTGTACTCGACCGTGTCTGAATATGGACCCTCACCTTATTAGAGTAAGCATGATCTCCACCAACGCCGAATAAGACAAATGGCCAAGGCAGAGACCACACTACTAAATCTGTGGAATGGCGAAGCTGGACGCACATGGAGTGAGTGAGCGTCTTCCGAGCCAAGTCATATCAATTCAACACAAATTGACCAAGCGTCAGACGCTGAAAACGATGCTCGCAAGGATGCAGAACGGCGACGACAACACTTTTGCCCTGAATGAATTGCTCGTGCCTTGCTCCCTGTTGTTGCTGGCACGGCATTGCCATTCGAACGTGCGACCCTGATCCTGGTCACAAATGGTATCTCCGACGCTTCCTCTCAATGCCTGCATGCACTGATCATTCCCAATACGGCTATTGCACTGAATGGCTCCTAGCGAATTTGCTTACACTCAGGAGCTTTAAGCGGAGACTCGAATACATAGGTAACTCATACATGATACCCGAGAAACCCCCGACCATAATCTGTTTAGGGCTAAAGGGCTATTGGGCGATTGGGCTATCGGCATACATGGAGCTATAGGGCTATAAGGCAATAGGGCTATAGGGCTATAAGGCTGTAGGGGTATTGGGCTATAGGGCTACAGGGCGATCGGGCTATAGGGCGATTGGGCTGTGGGGCTATAGGGCTATAGGGCCATAAGGCTATGGGGCTATACGGCCATATGGCACTAGGGCAATAGGGCTATAGGGCTGTAGGGCTGTAGGGCTGTAGGGCTATAAGGCTATAGGGCTATAGGGCTATAGGGCTGTATGGCTATAGGGCTACAGGGCTGTAGGGCTATAGGGCTTTAGGGCTATAAGGCTATAGGTCTATAGGGCTATAGGGCTATTGGGCCATAGGGCTATAAGGCAATAAAGCTATATGTCTATAGGGCTATATTGCTATCGAGCTATAGTGCGATTGGGCTACAGGGTTATAGGATTTCAAGGCTATGGGGCTGGGGCAATATGGCTGTAGGGCTATAGGGCTATGGGGCTGTAGGGCTGTAGGGCTATAGGGCTATAAGGCTATGGGGCTATAGGGCTATAGAGCAGAAAGGCTATATGGCTATAGGACTATAGGGTTATAGGGCCATAGGGCTGTAAGGCTGTAAGGCTGTAAGGCTATAGGGCTATGGGGCTATTGGGCTATTGGGCGAGGGGGTTATAAGGCTATAGGGCTACACACCCCCGGGCACCCAATGGAATTCCCGACGCACCCCGGGCACCTGGGCACCCGGGACAATTCTCGACACACCTCACCTAACCTTATGAATCCGCTAGGACCCCTACAGAAGCAATCTCTGGTTAAGGAAAATTATGGGCTCCCGCTTCCTGCCCGGTTTGGTGGCGGGCGGCAGCGTTCTGCGGTTCCAGGTTCCAGCGTTCCCAGTACGAGAAGATTCCAGGGGTCTTAGGTACTTGGGCTTTGCGACCAGGGTCAAAATGGGAGCGACTATATAGCAGAGAAAAAGAAAAAACAGATCAGAGAGTAGAGAGCAAAGTTGAGCAGAGAGGATGACAAGTAGACATTACGTAATACAACAGAGTGCGCTTAACTGGCACATACATAAAACATCCCCCCAAAGAGGGCCCCAAGACGGTCAAAGAGGGCTTCAAAACGGCACAAGAGGTGCCCAAGATTTCCCAAGGGGGCCCCGAGACGGCCTCAAGAGGGGGAGCACCAACGAACAATGCGAGCCTTCTGCTCCACGAGGCACCAAAGAGCACAGGAAGCCCCACGAGGCCCCCAAAAGCGCAGGAGGCCCCGAAGAGGCCCCACGAGGCCCCCAAGAGGCCCAGGCCACCAAACGGCCTCCAAGAGGCTTTAAACTGCCTCCAAAAGGCCCCCGAGAGGCCTCCCATGATATCCGAGCGAACATCCAAGAGGTACCTTTCTCACAACCCAGGCACGGTGGCGGCATGGGCAGAAGGGCGATCCATATATATATATATATATATATATATATGTTTATATATATATATATATATATGTGTATGTATGTGTGCTTACAGTTATCATTGTCCCTGTATATATATATATACATACATATATACATACATACATACATACACACATACATACATACATATATATGTGTGTATGTGCGTATAGTTAAAATTGTTCTGTATGTGTATATAGATATGTACATATATATATGTATAGATATATCCGCGACCATGCCAGCAACACGTAGTGGAGTGCCCCAAGGCTCACGCAATCCAGAAAAAATCAGAATGGAGTGTTGTGATTGTAAAGGCACGGGCCACCGGTTTGACAAGGATTTCCCGGGATTTCCTTGGATTCCCCAGGACCCCCCTGGATTTCCAGGGATTCTCCGATGTTTCCATGGATGCACCGGGATGCCCTGGACGTGGCGCGCGCGCCCTGCTGTAGCACAGCCAACCAAACATGGGCCCGAACAGCGCCCAAGAGGGCCGAAGATGCCTCCGAGAAGGCCCAAACGTGCCCCAATACGCCCAAGATGGCCGCAACACGGCCCAAGAGGCCCCGATGACGTCCCAAGAGTGTTCCAAGAGGCGTCCCAAGAGGGCCGCACGAATTACACATCATAAATGTTCCAAGGTTGTTGGAAGATTTTGGCCTTCTCGCCCTTTCAGCTTCCCGACTCTCCACAAGACGGCCCCAAGAGGAGGCCCAAATGGGAAACCCGAGTGGACATTACGAGACCTCGGCCCCGAGGGCTCTCCAGCAGGCCCCAAAAGGCCCCCCAAAGGTCCTCAAGAGTTCCGAACATTCTCCCAAGAGGCCCCACGAGGCTCCCGAGAGGCCTCCAGGAAGCTCCCAAGAGGCCCCAAAACTGCTCCCAAGAGGCACCCGAAAGCGCCCCGAAGAAGCATCTCTGAGAACTCCGACCCACATTCATCCCAGGCACGGTGCCAGGATGAGCCGACGGAAACTATATATATATATATATATATATATATATATGTATATACACACACTAGAACCATCGCGCGCGCTTCGCGCTAGCTCGATTTCTAGCTAGGCGTGATCGGCCAACTCATGTCAATCTCATCTTGGCCGCTCCTTGCGTCCAGGGACTTCCTTGGAGGCCCTGCGCAAGCCTCGGAGTCGTAAAGAAGCGGAGGTGCGGAAACGCAGAAATCACTACTTTTTTAGGTGTTCAACGATGTGGGGCCTTCAAAGGCTTCCTGGGTTTTTTGGGGGGAGGTGAGGGGGTCTGAATTGTTGTCTGTCGTGCAGGATTAGACCAGGGGCCAAACTTGGAAAAAAATAATTGTGGGAAATCATTTGTTTCCAGTTCCTCGGTGCTGTCCGGCGCTGTGTTTTGTTTGTGCCTCGCGGGTTTTGTTAGCTGGGCTCCTCAGGGGTGTGGGATCTTCCGGACCTCTGCGGGTTCTGGAGGCCTCCTGGAGGCCTGGAGGGCCGTCGGAAGGGTGCCTCAAGCTGCGCGGGAGCGTGTTGGGCCGTTCTTCACGTTCTGGGGGCTCCTCGGGGTCGTCTTTTGTCGCGCGAGGCGTGGGGCGCAACCGTGCTAGCCGCAAGCGACTGAGAGTGTAAGGGTAAGGAAACCAGCGAGCTAACGAAAAAACCAGGCTACGCTGGGTGCGTGTACAAATCCGCGCAAGAAGTTCAAGGCGCCCTCGAGAGCAATCGCCTCGGCGGTGAGAGACGAGATCGGAAAGACGACGAACCTGTCAACCATTCAGAGCGGGAGTATTACCGTGGCTCCATGCACAAATGCCCGGACTTCAATGTGCCACGCCGCCGCCGAGCACCTGTCAGCGCGGGTACCCCCCGTCCGCGTGGATGAGAAAATTCACGCTCTTGCCGTCAAGCCTGCCGCCGGGAGGCTCGAACCCTTGATTCCACGGCCGTTTTGCGCTCATGCTGCGATTCGCAAGATGGTCCGCTATCTTGTTCCAGCACCGCCGGTGCCACTGGAAAGGATTGGAACCGCGCCAGTTCGGCAACCAACCGCCCTCCACCAGTCCGAAGAATTTCTCAGTCACCCATGTGAAAAGGGAGCAGGTCATCGTTCAACGGCAAGACGTCACCGTTGAGGATGCCAGCCAGCGGCTTGTACTCGGAAATAAAACAAGAACGGCCTCCGGCACCGTCCCATTCTGTCTGGGGCACTCCTTCCCCATGAGAAGCGGAAAGTTCGCGCAGGCTATAAGCGTCCGTTCTATTTTCTTCGGGGGGGGGGGGGGCAGCGAGGGCAGCGTGTCCATGTGGCTTGGCTCTGGGTCGACCGGCCTGGGCAGATTTCACCGAGTGCACGCCGCGCGCTCGAATTCAGGATGCAACCTCAACCTATCTGCTAAGGTGGTACACGAGTCGCGCTTGCGTCGCCAATCCACGCCGTAAGCTACAACAAGCACATTTTCCCAGTCAATGCGAAGCCCAAGTCCTGCATGCACGAGGCTGTCTCTCCGCCATTTGCACCGCGATTGCAACGCCTGAGCACCCCCCCGCCACTTTCGAGCGCTGCAAATTCGAAAAGTTGCTGAGAAGTCCGGAAGAGTACCGGTAGACAGAGACCTCTCTCTCCAAGCATGTTTAAAGACAGCCAGTCAGACTCGTAAACTGAATTGCTTGATCATCTCGGCGCCCATGAATCGCTGGATCACCTGGCTCGCTCGACGACCATACTTGGCGCGCCATTCGTCTCGCTTCCACCTGGAGTGAAAGACCTCCCCGAGGAATATGTCCTCCCGCCGCCTGACGCCCGCCGGGGCGCGCCCGCGCAAATGCCAAGAGCAAGCGCCGAAACGCATTGAAGACGCCGGCCCGGCGGACCAGGCTCGCAGCTTCGAGCGCACTGCGCCTCTTCCTTGGGGAACTTTTGGCTGCGTCCAGAAGTATCTCTCCCCGGCCTCCGTCCTGTAGTCGACGCTGGCTCTGGTGTTGCCGTCGCTGCACAAGTGGGCCCCTAGTGCCGCCATGCCTTCTACGACGTCGCGCTGCAGCGCGGCGCCCGTCTGAATCGCGGGCGCCTCAGCGCCTGCATTCCTGGTCAGCCCGCAAGGCGTGCGCTCCAACGGCGATTCTTCCCATATGAAGCCCGACGGATACACTGCGTCAGTAAGCTCTTGCACCGCGCGCGCACGCGCGCCAATGCCTGCGGCGAAGATGAATATTACCCGCCCGCAACAGATGCGATATCAAGAGCCCACCAACAAATTTAATCCCCATGCCATTTTCTTCCCAACTGCGACATAACGGCTCCATGGCCCAGCCCCGCTCGTCATTGAAGATATCGGGAGTCTCGGCGCCGCCTCGCGCCCCGCCGCGCTCCTCATCGACTTCTTCCGTGGCCTTCATGCCCGGCAGCTCGATCATGCATTTTATGTCAGACATTTCCTTGAGCACCGCCAACGCCGCGGCTGGATGGCCCCCCCTGGCAGCTAGGGAACGCGCGGCAGGCTCTTGTTTCATCGAATCGACCGCCGTTTCGGTGTCCTGGGATCCAATCGCCAGCTCACGGCCCCATCTAGTGGCTAGGAAGACGGCCTGGGGAATCACAGTTGTGACATCGTCGGCGCGGAACTCAAGAGTGCAAGCTCGAGACGGCATGGGCGATGGCTTGATAACTGGTTCAAAACAGTGAGTGAACCACTTCAGACAACAATCAATTTTGACAACCAATCGGACATTCGATAAGTTAGTCGGCCGCGGCACCTTGGGCAGACCCACGGAGCCAATCTTCTCCCAGGAAGGCGGGCGCGCCGAATCGTTTGACAAATATCGTTTTCGGAATAATTTCCAAATCTTGACAACCAACGTGTAAGGAACGTAATTATGAAACTCTGGAGTTCCCCCGTCGGGGCCAGCAGTATCGTTCTTCAATTTCGCACGCCCCTCCAATACAGAGAATGCTGACATCAAAAGATGGCCTCTGGCCATCCAAGATCTCATTCGATGTCCTGCTCGCCCACCTTGACAGATTGCGGTTCTGCGCATGCGGGGGGCTCTCCTCGCCCCGGAACCTGGATGCACCGAAGCCCTTCGCTGCCAATCCCCGTGCTTGCCTGTCCGCAGTTCGTACCCCATTGATAGTCAGCGTCGCTGGCGCACTGGCATGGGCTTTAAAAGGCTCTCTACGCAAATGCCTCGAAGCCGCAGCTCATCACGATGTTCCCTCGCTTCCCGGCGCGCTTTCCGGAACAGCCTGGCATTCTCTGCCCGCCCCCTGCCTGTGGCCCGCGCCGCGGCGTACTACGCTGATTTCACAGCGCCGTTGATGGAAATGTTCTGCTGTCGTCTCCTGGAGGCCCTCGTAGAAGGTCATTGCCCACGGATAAGATAGCAGCCTGAAGTTCCGTGAAGTCGTCGCCGGACAGGTCCGCGCACCTCTCCTGGTAGTCAGCGGCATTCTCGGACGATTCCGGCTTCCAACCAACCAGCGATCGAGGCTTAGAGGCATAATGCTTCGATTGCATCTGTATCTCGACGTTCCCCACAATGGGTTTGTGATCGGATCTGCTGAACAACTTTCCACTCATGGCCCGAGGAAACGCCTCTCCGGACACCCCACTGGAAACACAAAGAACATCGACCTGGGATCTTGCGTGAGGTCTCCTGGGAGCCCCGCGGGTCCACAGCTTGGCATGGTCGACCACCCCTTTCGTCATTGCGGAGTCCTGGGTGAACGCGTCTTGGACCACCACGTCCAACGCGATCAACCAAGCAGCGGCCTTCCAAATACTCCACATGCTATGTGAACCTCTGGGTGGTAGGACCGTTTCTGCTGATACCTGCTCCAACTTCAAAGAAAATTGTACGTTCGCATCAACTCCAAGAACGGCCTCAAATGTATGCCAACATATCTATGACGAATTCGTTGAACGTGCCGGCTGGTATCTTCAAATGCTCGGTCCGCCCGCCCATCTTCCTCAGTATGGTCCAATTCATGCACCGACATGTATATAAAATTGCCCACCACGGCACCACACCAGTAAGCACCCGAAGAAATCCCCAGCAAGCCTCCGGAGAGCCTTGCGAATCTTCGCAACGGCTGCAAGCCCCCTCTTGCAGTGTTCCAGCTGTAACTTGCACCATGCACACCCGAGTATCCGGCGCTGCCGCCTCGCGAGTCCCGGAACGCCCGGAGCTCCTTCTGCAGAACCTCCGGCGTCAACCCGAAGTGCGGGTTCGCCGCCGCTGGGTCCCACATCACCTTCCCCTCGTCGTCGATGTTCCCGAACTTGACTTCTACGCCCTGCGTATTCTTCACGGTGAGCTCCCAGTCCGGGCGCCAGGAGCATGCCGCTGTGGCCCCAGGGTCTGTGGCCTTCGCTTTCCTCTCCAAGAACGCCCTCGCTCGCCCTCCCGTGGAGTACATTATCTGTTGAGGCGGGTCCCGCTCCACAGTCGCATAGAGCTCGCGACCCTTGTGGTGCAGCGCGCTGTCCTGGACGAGCCCCTTGAACGACAGTCCAACTTCCAAGGCGTGTGGTTGAGTGATGTGCAGTCGCACCTTCCAGAAACGATTGCCAAAAGTCTCCACGGGGCCCACCATGTTCTGCAAGGGAACCGGCAACAACTCCACAAACTTGCCATGTATAGCGTCAGCCTCCTCCCGCGTGGGCCCAGTCGCACGCTTCTCGCAGATGTCGCATAAATTCTGAATCTCAACGTTAGAAAGCGAGAATGCACTGGAGGATTGGCCGGACTCCATCTTCTTCTCAAGGGTGTCCAACCTGTTATCCGTCTTATCCGCACGCTCCGTTAACGTCTTGAGCTCCGCTTTGATTGGGGCCAGGTTCGATTCGAACTTCTGGTCGAGAAGGGCACCCATCGATTCGAGAGTCAAGGCGGTCATCTCGACAACCTGAAGGTAAGATTGAAGGTGTGTATCTTATCAGCGGGGCCAATTTGGGGAGCCTTTGGGGCCGTCGTGGCCGCTTGAGCCACGATCATCTTGGGCCATCCTTTGGCGTCTTGGGGGCCGCCGGGCCCCCCGGGAAGCCGGGAGGCGCAGTACCGGCCAGATGTCAGGGGATGTGTGGGATCTCCGAGTCGGAGTCCCACTTTGGAAAAAAGAACAAATTCTGGGAATCCCGTTTTTTACAAAAATCATCGATCTTCGAGGGTTGGAAGCGGGACAACGTCAGAAGGCGAAAAGCATCTGAAAAAGCATGAGTCATCAACGCTGTTGCCCTCTTTGGGCTCTCTCGGGACAGCTCTCGCAGCTCTCTTGGGCTGTTATTGGAGCCTCGTCGGGGTCTTTATGGAGGGCCTCTGGGGGGTCCTGGAGGCTTCTCGGAGGTCCCTGGGGGGTCCCGCTCTTGGAGGGTCCCGCGCTTGGGCCCATTTTGGGCCTGTTTTGGGGTGGTCTGGGGCTGTCCTGGGCGCCCTTTTCGGCAGTCTTGGAGCCTTCTTGGCTTGTCTTGGGGCCGTCCTGAAGGTCTCTTGGGTGGTCTTGGGGCGGTCTTGGGAGCCTCTTCGGCGCTATTGGACCAGTGGAAGCTCGAAAACGCGAGAAGCCAAAACCATTGAAAAAGCATATAGAAATCTACGATGTTGGCCTCTTCGGGCCGTCCCGGGACGCCTCTCGGACCTCTCTTGGGGTCTCTTGGAGGCCACCTGGGAGCCTCGAGAACCGTCGGAAGGCTGACTTGGGCTGCTTGGGAGCGTCTTGGACCATCCTTTCGCATTCTGGGGGCTCCTGGAAGGCGTCTTGGGCCCTCCTGGGGCGATGTGGAGGCTCCCTGGAAAGGCCTCTTGGGCTCCTGGGGGGCGTTTTTGGGCGGTTTAGGCGTCTCATGGGCCGTCTTGGCCCCCTCGTGGGCCGTTTTGGCCCCCTCGTGGGCATCCTCGACCGGCTTGGGTGCCTTGGGCCGTATTTGACGCAGTGGAAGCCCAAAAGGCGAACACGCCAAAAACATCAGCTTTCCTATGAAGGAAGTCGATGATGTTTGGTTATTTGGGGCTCTACTGGGGTGTGTCTTTGGAGCCTTTTTTGTGTTTTTGTCAAGTCTCATGGGGGGCTCTTGGGGCTTCTTGGGCACTTCTTGGAGCCTCTTGGGGCCTCCTGGGGGTCTCTTGCGCCAAAAAGCGCGAATTTCCGGTCTCGTCCCCGTCTTGGGCGCCGCCTTGGGGCGTTCTTGGACGCCTCGTGGGCCGTCTTGGCCCCCTCGTGGGCCGTCTTGGGGCCCTCTCGGGGGCATCCTCGACCGGCTTGGGTGCCTTGGGCTGTATTTGACGCAGTGGAAGCCCAAAAGGCGAACACGCCAAAAACATCAGCTTTCCTATGAAGGAGATCGACGAGTTTTGCTTATTGGGGTCTCTCCGGGCGTCTTCGGGGCCTTCGGGGGCCTTCTTGGCGTCATGGGAGTCGTCTTGAAAGGCATCGGGAGCCATCGGGGCGCGTCTTCGAGCGTTCCGAAGCCAGCTTCGGGCGATCTTGGACGGCCCCAGGCGCTCCGGCGGGGCTCTCGGCGCGCCGGGCCCCACATCTGTGGTCGTGGTCCCAGCCCCCGGCCCCCAGACCCGGTCACCCGTTGTATGTGTGTGCATATGTATACACAGATGCAAATCCGCATATATGTATACATATATATATACACACATACATACATGTTGTATATATATATGTGTAAATATAAGCATATATATACACATATATGTGTGGATGCGTATACAAGCATTATTAAATACACAGCCGTACGCATACATTTTACATATGTGTCTATAGATCTAGATGTAAACATGTCCAGACACACATTTATTTATTTACTTATTTATATCTGTATGGACACAAGCACAAGCACAAACACACACACACATACATTTCCACGCACAAGTCACACAGACACACACACACACACAAACACACACACACTCACGCATGCACACACACCAATATATATATATATATATACATCTATATATATATATATATATCTCACCAATCTATATATATAGACTAAAACCATCGCGCGCGCTTCGCGCGCGCTCAGGCTCTAGCAGGCCCCAGGCCTTGACGAGTTCACTGCTCCACTGACGTAATGGACCACGGATGGTTTGAACGGGAAGTGAAGAAGTGCCCATAACGCTGAACGCGCTATGAGCAGCGAAAAGTCCATGCATGTCAGTTTGCATTCCGGAAAGCTTTCGGGGAAGAAGCTTGCGTGGGGTGGCGGAGGCCTGATGAATCGGGTTCCCAGAAGGCCTTCTGGGAACTTGGGTTTGGGGGACGTTTCGGGGAGCCTGTTGGGGCGTGCCGCCGTCGTCGCAATGTCGTCGTCGCCTCTTGGGGCGCGCCGTCGTCGTCGTCGTCGTCGTCGTCGTCGTCGTCGTCGTCGTCTTCGTCGTTTCGTCGTCTTCGTCGTCGTCATCGGTTCAAGAGGGCATTTGGGGCAATCTTGCGCCAAACGATCCGCGGAGGGCCGCGAGAAGGCGATCACTGACATTCCCAGACAACTTCCCAGACAACTCTCCAGTAGCGCGACGGTACTTCGGAGCCTCCGGAGACCCTCGGATCCATAATGAACCATGTCCACGAAGGATTTCTGGGGACATGATTTGCTGGGGTGTGTTGGGGGGCCTCTCGGGTGTTCCCTGGGGGTCCCTTGGGGGCCTCTTGGGGCTGCCTGGAGGCCTCTTGGGGGCCTCACGGGGCTTCGCGGGAGCCTCTCGGTGGCCTCTGGGGGCCGGGGGCCTCTAGGGCCAGAGACCTCGAAACATCGGTTCGCAGTCCCCGTCTGGGCCCCCTCTTGGGGCGCTCTTGGGGCACGCTTGGGCTGTCTGGGGAGCCTCCTGGGCCCCCTTCGGGGCCCGTCTTGGAACATCCGAAGGGCCTCCGAGGCCGCGAAGGAGCGCTGGGAAGCGGGAAAAGCGAGAATGACAAAATCCTTCAGAACCATGGGAAATGAATGAGTTTTGCCTCCAAGGGCCCTCTTGGGGAGCCACTTGTGTCTGTCCTGGAGCGCGTTGGAGTCCTCTTCGGCCGTCTTGAAGGCATCGTGGGCGTCTTCGAGGCCTCTTGGGACCGTCCTGGGCCCTCTTGGAAACCCCCTTAGCCTGTCGCGGCATGTTTCGGGGCGGGCCCGGGCCGTCTCGGGAGCTCTGGAACCCCCCCAAACCCCTGGAGGGCGCCCATGGGGGGCACTGGCAGCGGCCCGCCCTCCCCCGCCTACTCCTATATATATATATACATATCTATATATATATAGAGAGAGAGAGAGAGAGATACATGCATGCATGCATGCATGCATGCATGCATGCATGCATACATACATACATACATACATTCCACAACAGGTCTTGGGGTTGACGTTGCACCCCGGGGGCCCGAAAACGGGCCCCTCGGGGCCGAAAACTGCGAAAACCTTCTCGAAAACTGGACTCCGAATCTCTACCAAAAACCTACGAACAATTTCAAGAAGAACCGACGACGATGACGACGACGCCCGCGATGACGACGACGACGACGACGACGACGACGACGACGACGACGACGACGACGACGGCAAGGGGCAAGGCGCGGATCCTCGCCCCCCCGAAGCAGATGTTCCCGGAAGCCCCTCTGGGAACATCTCCCGGAACCGCCCGGGCCCGAGAGGTTTGCGCGACGGCGTCTGCGTAGCGCGGCGTGAACGCAACTTGACGGAGGGCGCGGGGGTGGCGCCCGTGTTGGGGCCTCCTGGGGTATTTGGGGGGCCTCTTGGGGACCTCCTCGGGGCCTCTTGGGGGCCTCCTTGGCGCGTCTTGAAGCTCTCTCGGGGGGGCCGTCTGAAGCCTTCTCGGGACCCTCTTGGGCTTTCTAGGACCCTCTGGGGCGCCTCTCTGTCTCGGGGCTGTCCAAGGCCGTCTTCAGGCCGTCTGGAGAGCCTCCCGGGCAGTCTTGGGGCGCTCTTGAGGACCTGTTAGGCCTTGTTGGAGCGTCGGAAAGGTGAAAAGGCGATCAAAACCAAAAACATAAAAAAACACTATGGAACATCATCGGTTTTGGCCTCTCGGGGCTCTCTTGGGGCGTTTCTTTGAAGCCTCTTGGGGCGGCTTCGGAGCTTCTTGGGCTGTCTTGGGGCCATCTTGCGCGTCTTCGGGGCTTCCTGAGGCTTTCTTGACCATCTGTGCGGCCCGCGCGGCCCGGGGCAGTCCTGGGGGGTACATGTGACCCCCCGAAAATCCCGGGCGGCGCCCATGGGGGAGCACCGGCCCGGCCCCCCCCCCCGGCCTACTCCGATATATCTCGATCTCTATATATATATATATATATATATATAGATGTACATGAGTGAGAGTTTTCCGTTCACGCGAAACCATTTCAAGTCGTGCGCGCGTTGGCTGCTTTGCGGCACGAAAACGCCGTCGCGTTTATCTCCTGTCTCTTCCTCTTCTTATTCTTTTCGGCCTGGTGTGGGGGGGGGCCTGGCGGGGCCCGGCAGGGGGCCGGGGGAGGCCTCACCGCGGGGGGCCTGCGGCGTCGCGGGGGGCCCGTCGCCGCGAGGCCCACGGGTGGCGCCAGTCGTATGGGGGCCCGGAGAAAGGGGCGTGGGGGGCCCCCGCGACGAGCCCGCGGCATCGTGGGGGCCCGTCGCCGCGGCGCCCAAAGGTGGCGTTGGTCTTGGTTTCGCGGAAGTGCAATGTTGAACACAAAAAAAAAAATCCGCGCCTTCGGGGGGGTTCTTCATTGAATGTTCCGTTCCACTTTTCCAGTAGCCCGTCCTGGGGGGCCCGCGGTGTCGTGGGGGCCCGTCGCCGTGGTGCTCACGGGTGGCGCCGGTCTTGGTTGCGCAGAACGCGTGGGGACAAGGAAACAGATAGTATGTTGCACAAGCAAAATACTGAGGAGTAGAACGTAGGAAAAATTGAAACTCTTGCACATGACCAGGGCGATGATTTGATATCATGGCCCCCGCAGTTGCGGATCAGAGTGAGTGGGCGGGGGCGTCGTCGGCAGTCTGCAAGGCGCTGAAGAAGCCCGCCGCAGGCGCCGACCTTTTTTTGGTTGGTTTAAAAAATTGTGTAATGAGTCCGCCGCAGGCGCCGAGCTTTCGTCAAAACAATATGGATGGTTCGCGGGAAGGTCGCGGGTGGGTCGCGGGTGGGTCGAGGGCGAGAACGACGACAACAAACAACAACAAACACAGCACTCAGTTTAAGACTGTTCGCTCGTACCTGCTTGTGTGCTTCTCGACACGTACATCCCTAACCCTCGGTACCCCTACCCTTCCTCTTCGATCGTGCACCCTTGGGGGTACATCTGCGAGTGAGCGCGCTCGAGGCACACTTCTCGCTAAAAGGGGGGCCTAGGCTTGCTGCCCCCGCCCCTCCCTTGGAAATGGGGGGGTGCTTCCGAAGCTGCCCCCCCCCTTCCTTTCGTAGGCATTTCGGCCCAGCTGAAGGGGGTGTGGGCTTCCAAGCTTCCCCCCTTCTCTTCCGGAGCCCAAGGTCGGGAGCGAAGGCTGGGAGCAGAAAGAACATGTGGCAGAACCAGATCGGGCGGGTAGACCCTACTGGGCGGGTCGGGCCGGCGGGCCCACACGGCGGGGTTCAGTGGGCGGCTCGCTGAAGCGGGAGTCCTGCAGGAATCTCGAGGAAGTCTCGAGCGATAGTGCGACTCCCAAGAAGATCGCGAAAAAAGGCAATATCGAGAGCGTGCTTCCTGAGTGTCAAGGGCGCAGCGATTGAATTGCATGTAGCGAAATACAATGCGAAATCGCGGTTCCTGTATACATTGTGAAGATGTCCCGCGCGAGAGTGCGGTTTGCAATGCGTTATGAGGAAGTATCAGGCGGGAGACGCTGTAATTGCAAACCGGAGGACAACAAGACAATCTTAGCCTCAATCCTTACCCTTGTTCAGACAAAGGTGCGAGCCCTGGGAGGAGCGCTTTCATTGAAAACACACTATTGGCACCGAGGACGGGGAATCATCAATAATTAATTATTCTTTGAAACTGAGACCTCAACAATCATTTAAAAACTATTCTCTCTGATCTGCTCGCGTGCCACTACACGTGCATATCCCAAACCATGGATACCCGCATTCTCGGTCTTCGGACATCAGCCCCTTGGCGTCCTCACCTGCCACGTGTAATGGGCGCAGCCTCTGGAGCAGGGGAAGGGAGGAGGATGGGAAGGGAAAAGGGGGAGGGAGAAGGATGAAGCACGAGAGAAATTAGTGAGGGTGGGGTTAGGAGCAGGCAAACAAACGGCAACACCAGACGGTCGGGTGGGGCGGGCCGACCCTAACGGGCGAGTCGGGCCGGCGGGCCCAGACAGCCAGGTCGAGCGGGCGGGTCGAGGGAGTTTCTAGCGACAGCGCAATTCCCAAGTAAACTCGCAATTCCAGGGCGAGACTGTGATTCCTGACTGCTGTGGGCGCGGCGTTTCAACATATTGCGAGGAAGTACCGCGCGAGAGCGCCACTCCTGGATAATGTGCGAGGGAGTCCCGCCGAGAGCTCGACTTCGAATGAATTGATATGATATGCCCCGCTCTCTCATCATGCGGAAACTGTTGTTGTTGTTGTTGTTGTTGTTGCTGTTGTTATTATTCTTCGTATTATTGCTGCTGTTTTTGTTGGTGTTAGTGTTGTTGCTGTTTATCAGAGTGAGGGGGCCGAACGGTCATTCACTGTCCCTGGGTGCGTGGCTGAAATGGGATTCCGCGGTGCGGATTCTCGTTGCTGTTGTTGTTGTTTGTTGTTGTTGTTGTTGTTGTTGTTGTTTGTTGTCGTCGTCCCACCCGCGACCCACCCACGACCCACCCCGCGACCCACCCCGCGACCCACCCGCGACCCACCCGCGACCCACCCGCGACCCACCCGCGACCCACCCCGCGACCCACCCCGCGACCCACCCCGCGACCCACCCCGCGACCCACCCGCGACCCACCCGCGACCCACCCGCGACCCACCCCGCGACCCTCCCCGACCCGCCCCGCGACCCACCCGTGACCCACCGCGACCCACCCCGCGACCCGCCCGCGGCCCATCCACCCCGCGACCCCGCGACCCACCCGACCCACCCGCGACCCACCCGCGACCCACCTTCGACCCAAACCACGTTCAAGGTACAAACCACAATTTTCGGCGCCTGCGGCGGGTTTTTTTTGCACCCCTTCCAGGTGGAGAGCCCGCGGCCCACCCCGCGACCAACTCTCGACCAACACCGCGACCCAAACCACGTTCAGGATACAAACCACATTTTTCGGCGCCTGCGGCGGGCATCTGTTGCATTCGTTTCAGGTGGAGAGCCCGCGGCCCACCCGCGACCACGTTCAGGGTACGAACCAAATTGTTCGGCGCCTGCGGCGGGCTGCTTTTGCATTCCTTCCCGGTGGAGGTGGAGACCCGCGACCCACCCGCGACCTAAACCACGTTCACTGAACAAACCAATGCCGCACAAGCGCGGTGGCGGATTTTTTGCATGCCGTCTGAGCCCGCAACGACCTCTTGAAGCCCCGCGCATCCACACCAGCCCGTCCAGCAACTTTGCCCTGGCGGGTTGCCTTGATCAGAGAAGTCGGGGAGCATAAAGTGGAAAAAAAGGATTGCGTTGCCGTTATCTTGGGAAAGGAGGGGGAGGCAGGAGGAGTAAACAGGGGACGAGGAGGACGCGGAAGAAGAGAGGATGTAAGGATAATGTGGAGAAAGAGGAGCAGGTGGACGAGGAGGGGGAGGGGGAGGAGGGGGAGGAGGAGCACGAGGAGGGGAAGGAGGGGGAGGAGGGGGAGGAGGATGTGGATGGACGACAATGGGAGGACGATGACGGAGGCCGATGAGGGGGAGGACGACAATGGGAGGACGATGATGGAAGGACGAGGGGTGGGGAGGGAGGACGAGGAAGAAGAGGAGGAGGAGGACGAGGTGGAGGAGGAGGATGATGACGATGACGATGACGACGAGGACGAGGAAGAGAAGGAGGAGGAGGAGGAGGAGGAGGAGGAGGAGAGCGTCATCGACAGGGAAGGTGGGGGCCACGAGGTCCCCCGGCTCGACGACGCCCGCGTCGCCCGCGCCCGCCCCCTCACTCTTATCCGCAACTGCGGGGTGCTACGTAATGTTGTTGTTGTTGTTGTTGATGATGTGTGTGCTGTTGTTGTTGCTGCTGTTGTTGTTTGCGTTGTACGCCGCGGGCCAGCAGCACAGTCTGAGGCTCAAGACTTCCCCTTGTAAAAGAAGGGTGAGAGTCCCAGGAAGGGCACTTCAGTAGAAAAACGCAAGTAGGCACCAGGAGGAGCACCTCAATTGAACAAAACCCATCCTTTGGAAAGGATAGCCCAACCACAGTAAGCATAATTCGCACCACGGAACTTCACTTCAACCATGTACCCAGAGACAATGAATGACCGTTCGGCCCCCTTTACGCCGATGTTGCAGAACGAACATGGTGTGGGTCGCGGGTGGGTCACAAATGGGTCGCAGGTGGGTCACGGGTGGATCGCGGGGTGGGTCGCGGGGTGGGTCGCGGGGTGGGTCGCGGGGTGGGTCGCGGGTGGGTCGCGGGGTGGGTCGCGGGGTGGGTCGCGGGGTGGGTCGCGGGACGGTCGCGGGTGGGTCGACGACAACAACGCAACCCAACGCAACAAGCAGAATTCGCGCCGTGGAGTCCCACTCCAGACACGCACCCAAGGACGGTATGAGACCGTTCGGCCCCCTCAATCTGATCTTACGCACGAAAATTAGATTAGGGCTTCCCCAAAGATGTCAAAATCATGAGGGCGACTCCATCCTCTGACGCGAGCCTGATACCACGTGGTTGACATTGGAACGTTGACACCAGGCAATTGGCAGCATGCTGTCGATACTGAGCTGTGGATGCGTTTCTATAACGCTGCCCTCACAATCCTCTACTCGAATCCCAAGCACCGCCCTTGCCCCTTGCATTATCGTGCGTCCGTCACGCGGCTTCAACTCTGCGTCCAAGGCGCAAATGAGGAAGGCAGACTCAAACATGTGGCTCCCTTGCGGCCCCTGCAAGATACCCGACGACAAGCCTGGGCCTCTGCGCTTGCTTACCCATGGCGAGCGCGGGAGCGCAAGCCATCGGCTGACCGGGCAAGGCGCCCCGAGATGGCACCGCGGATCAGGGATCCCTGAGCGCCCCGCCCACGTCGTTGATCGCCAACATCCTGCGGGACCGCAGCCAGAAGCCCGGGGGGAGGGGGGCACGACGGCGAGACACACGACGTCTGCAAGATCGCGAGCTCGCGCGAGCACGCATCCTCGGGGGGCACGATAACGCGCGCTGCGGAGAGGAGGAGGAGAAGGCCGAGGAGGTGGAGAGACATCAAGGCGAGGAGGACCTTTGCCAGCTGCGCCGCGCGTGGATTTACGTTGAGGAGCGGCACATGCGGTCCACCGATGAGTGTGATAGGGTGGCCACCCACTTGCTCCATAAGGCCATCGAAATCAACATATTTCAATCTGCCTGCGATGGCTTCCTGAGGGAGTATGCGACATCGCATTGGAGACCCAAGCAGGGGACAACATTAATTGTCCCATCAAGCCTTTCCGTACTGAGCGTCTGAAAACTCCCATCTGCATGCTGCTCGCGTTCTCACTGTCCGAAGACGTGTCCGCCAAAAAGTCTGGCTTGGCAACCACTTGCACGTGCGTAAAGGGATCAATTACTCACTCATAAAAGCTCTTCCGCACGAATTCCACTGCTCATGGATACGCCATGCTTGAGACTGAAGAAATGTGAAGAAGCCAGCAATCCCCTTGGCTCTTGATCTGGTCATAGGGTGTGCGAAGCGGCAATGGGTGAGATTTCCCGATCAGCGAGAGACCCGGCCAAGTCCCTCAGCATCGCCCGCGTGTTCAGTATCCATGTCCAATTTCGGCCACAACATCGGGGGGGGAAAACTGCAGCCCCACTTCTTTGATTCGGCCAAAGAAACGCAACCACTGGTGGAGTATACAATGCGTGGCTGCCCCAGGAAGCGGGGATGCAGCGGAAGAGTTGCGCCAAGGAGGGCAAGGGCCGCTGCACAGAACGACGGGCCTCTCGGAGGGGCTCTGGTGCAGATCCTGCGCGCCTCTGAAGGACGAGTGCCAGCCGCAAGGGCGCCGGCGGCTCGGGCGCCAGAGTCGAGACCGACCGCGTGCAAGCCATGAGTCACTGAGCGACGCAACTGGTCGCAGCGCTGGCAAGAACGCTTGCCGGGCTGACCACGAAAGGTGTGAACTGGGAAGCAGCTCCCTGGAGGTCGTACCACCAACGATTGATTGCCCGAGAGTGGGCATGGATTGGGCCCAGGGTTAAGCTCGACAAAGCGGGATTGAGCAATAGTAGGCCCGATTGAAATGGATTATGCTGGATTCGGCCGGGTTTCAACCACGGGTGTGCCAGCACCAATGCTGAACGAAACTTTCCAGGAGTTGCATCCAATGTAAATATGGCAATGGCGATGTAATTATCAAGTTGCCCAGCGAACACGAAAACGCGAGGTCAACGTCGAGGTGGTAAACACTCGACGCTGGTGTCGACAGCCGTGATGTCGGAATCAAATAGGGGTGATCGAACCGATCGGCAACGATCAGAAGGGCCCAGGGCTCATTGTGCAAAAAGAGGCGCCCAATCACCTCACCATGCAAACGCATGCGCCGAAGAACAATGGACCAGCACGGGCAACCCGTGCCAGATCATTCCCACCGCTAGGATGCGAGTGAGGGAGAATCCCAGAGAAGGATGAGATGGATGAGGCGGATGATGAGGTCCAGGAACACCTGTGAAAGGCTGAGGATGAAGATGACGAGACCAACCTTCCCACCAATATCCCGACTCCTGGGCACATCCATCGCCCTATGCATCCACTGAGCCCAGCGCATGATGGCGGGATCGCACGGGCGGCCATCCTGATGGTGTAAATCTCGCCGTACTTCAGCCCGCTGATGACGCAAGATTGTGGCGCGGGCTTCCTCTCGCTGCCGCAAGTGGCGTCCGCCACGGTCGAAACGTCGGTGCCGCTACCATCGTCGCGGAAGACCTCTCGGCGCGATGTGCTCGCAAGGCGAAAGAGATGGCGCAAACATAAAAGGAGAACACGTGGCGGACGTACCAATGAGAGATTGTGCGATAGTGGGGTAGCCACTGGTGGCCAGGTCTCTCTCTCTGGCCAGGTCTCTCTCTCTCTCTCTGTCTCTCTGTCTCCCTCTCTCTCTATATATACACATATATATATGTCAGAGTGAGGAGGCGGAACGGTCATCCATTGTCCCTGGATGCGTGGCTGAATAGCGAATTCGTGGTGAGAAGTCTGCTTGCTGCATTGTTGTTGCTGCTGCTGCTGCTGCTGCTGTTGTTGTTGTTGTTGTTGTTGTTGGTGTTTGTCGTCGTCCCACCCGCGACCCACCCCGCGACCCACCCCGCGACCCACCCCGCGACACACCCCGCGACCCACCCCGCGACCCACACGCGACCCACCCCGCGACCCACCCGCGACCCACCCCGCGACCCACCCGCGACCCACCCCGCGACCCACCCTCAAGGGAGAAGAACAAACCCAGACCCGACAATTGACGTTTACTAAACGGCCTCGGGTGTTTACTAAACAGCCCTGCCCTGTTCGATTCATTTCCTGTGTGCGCTTACTAGACGGCTTACTAGCTTGCCGGGGTGATTATTATGGGGTGACTTTTCTGCCCTCTACACCCGCGACCCACCCGCGACCCAACAACGATCCACCCACGACCCACCCGCGACCCATTTGCGACCCACCCGCGACCGACCCGCGACCCACCCTCATTGGCTTAACGAAAAAATCGGCGCCTGCGGCAGGCTCGTTGTATAATTTGTGAAACTTTGGCGCCTGCGGCGGGCTTCTCCAGAGTCTCGCAATCTGCCGACGTACCCACCACCCCCTCACTCTTATCCGCATCTGCGGGGTGCTACGTGTATATATATATACATACATACATACACACATACATACATACATACATATATAAAGATCAGAGTGAGGGGGCCGAACGGTCATTCACTGTCCCTGGGTGCGTGGCTGACATGGGATTCCGCGATACGGATCATTGCTGTTGATGTTGTTATTCGCTTGCTTGCTTGCTTGCTTGTTTGTTTGTTTATTTGTTGTTGTTTGGCGTCATCTCCCCCGCGACACGGCCCGCGACCCACCCGCGACCCGCCCGCGACACGCCCGCAACCCACCCGCGACACGCCCGCGACCCGCCCGCGACCCGCCCCGCGACCCACCCGCGACCCAACCTCGACCCCCCGCGACCCTCCGGCGACCCGCCCGCGACCCACCCGCGACCCACCCGCGACCCACACGTTACGCAACCGCGACCTGGCCCGTGACCCGTCCGTGACCCGCCCGCGACCCACCCGCGACCCACCCGCGACACATCCGCGACCCACCCCGCGACCCACCCACATTGCTTTAACGAAAATTCGGCGCCTGCGGCGGGCTCGTTGTACAAGTTGTAGAAATGAGGCGCCCGCCGCAGGCGCTGGTTTTGGTATACATTAAACAGCGAGCCCGCCGCAGGAGCCGAATTTTTCGTCAAAGCAAGTAGGTGGGTCGCGGGTGGGTCGCGGGCGGGTCTCGGGCCCTGTCGCGATCGCAGGTGGGTCGCGGGGTGGGTCGCGGGTGGGTCGCGGGTGGGTTCGCGGGTGGGTCGCGGGTGGGTCGCGGGCCGGGTCGCGGGTGAGACGACGACAACAAACAACAAACAACTAACAAAAAACACTAAACAAAAAACACCACCACCACCACCACCAACAACAACAACAAGAATCCGCACCGCGCAATCCCACTTCAGCCACGCACCCAAGGACAGTGAATAGCCGTAAGTACGTGCACATGTTGACTACGAACGTGTACGTACGGTGCACATAGCACATACACATGTATGTCTGTACGCATTTGTAGATGTATATGGAGAGTTCGTAGCATGGCGCAAAGCTGTGC